CCGGTGTCGAAGCCACGGTCAGTGTTGACGCGCTCGAGCAGGCTTTCGAGCAATCCGACAAGGGTGCCGTGCATGCGGCACTGGTCGACTGCGATGTTGTGAATCACTCGACCCATGGACTCGAGGTTGTCGGGCAGTTGGCAGAAGTCGGAAAGGATCAACGACTCGCGCTGATACTGCGGGTTCGCGAGAGGACGACACTCAGCCTGGTTGACCTGTTCGAGCAGCACCAAGGTCTCGGACCAGGCAATCGTAGGATAGGCCAAACCTAGGATGTCCCCCTGGTTGCCATCGCGGTGGAAGACCTTGTCAAGGTAACACATCAACTCGTCGATCTCGGGGAACGACCTAGGAGCAGGAAGTGTGTCGTTCGCTAGCAGGATGGCCCGGCTGCGAGACTCGAACAAGAAGTGCTGTTCGAAGGTCGGTTTGATGGTTCGGAGGATAGTCTAGGTTTGGATGCACGTATGATCATCCAACAGACTCCGTGGGCCCAAGCCAGCCACTCTCCAGGACTGTTGGCATCGTATCGCGGCTCAACAAGTCCCTCGGCTTTGAGGACCTCAAGGAGGCAATAGTAGCGGGCAGCATACACTTCGGAAGTTGGGTCGAGATGCGGCATGTTCGTGTAAGTCAGGCGACCTCCCGCGGATGTCTCATATCTTTGAGGACTGTCCCCGGCTCCGGTTATGACCTTCGCCGTTCGGGGATGGTCGCCCGCTGTTCGGAAGCCACGGAAGGCCGAGTTGTGTTCTCTCATGTGTTAGTAGGTCCGGGTCGAGCGTTGTGACATTCTCTGATTGGTTGTTTTTCTTATCACTCTCCTTCATCATTTCTTGGAATTCCTTGGCTCTCTTGGTCTTCGGACCGTATTTTCCTGTATATACCTTGACTTGTTCCCTCCAAATCTCAGAGACCCCCTTACCCTCTCAAACTCACCTCGCGCCGGCAAGGTTCGTCAGTCAGTCCGTTCGCAAGTCAGAAGTTCGTCAGTCAGCTCGTACATGTTCGAAGTCAGCCAGTCAGCAAGTCAGTCAGTTCACCAGTACGCTCGTCCGCTCGTAGTTGCCCCGAGAGGCTCTACACTTCTTCTACTGCTGTCGCTCGCCTCCCTTGTTACCTTTTGCCCGACATGTCTGTCGAGAACCTACCTCCTACCTTTGAGGCTTAGCCCTCGTCTTCGAACAGTCTTCGACATCTTCGAAGCTCTCACGTGTTGTTTGGAGTCTTGTCCGTCCTCCTCCTTCTTACCTAGACCACTGTACAGTCCCCCGTACATCTCATAGACGCAGAGGCCTCGCATACCACTGCTTGACCTCACGGTTGGGTTTTTGTGTGGCTTTTGTGTTCTTTTTGGTCATGTCAATGGGGACACATAGCTTTGACATACACAGAATATACAACCTCCCTGTTGAAGTGATTGGCTGATGAGTCTGTCAATGACTGAAAGGGGAAAAGGATAGTTAGAGCCAGGGAGCAATGACACTGTATTTTTCTCTCTTGTGATCATTTTCTCTCCTGTGTTCCTTCTCTCTCTGCCTCATAGCCCTTCTCAGTACAAGAGTGATGTTCTGAGTTCTTTACCAACATCAGTCTGTCCTGTATGATATGTGGTGAGCACTCGTGGTTGCATACCAATCCATGACCTCAATTGTTGTACAATAATAGTGCTGACCTGTACCCTGAGGGTACTGAGAGTTTGTGTTTAACCTCATTCCTCCATCAGGCATGTGGCCTTCATATTTGTGATGTGAAATGTTTGATTGACAAGTGAGAACTCTCACCTAAAGCCCAAGTGACATCAAAAGCTCTGAACTTGTAGGTTGCAAGGTAGCACAAGGTCCACAATGGGTGCCCACATTGGCGCCAATCAAGTAAGAGTGGCCAAAGGTGTGGCTCAGCCCAACCACAAATAAGGCTCTGTGGGCCAGCAAATCCAGCTCAGTTTTACTCATCATCTTTATAACCGGCATGCCTGGACCTCCCACAATGTGCAAGCACAAAGGGGCCCCTCAAGGGTACACTGTCAGCTACAGCAAGATCCAGGAGGTCTACAGCACCGGCAAGGTGTGCATTGGTGGCAGCCCATTGCAGAGGGCCATGTCGACCACTGTAATGAAGGATCTCTAGAGTTGAATGATAGTGTTGTCCTTGATAGATGGACAAGATTGCTGCTGGAGTGAATGAGGGAGTAACGAAAGAATACAACAGGTGAGTTGCTATGTGTATGCATACCTGAGGCTCATGTCATCCATGCTATGGTATCTTCCTGAGCTTTTGCAAAAGTTCAAGGACTGGGTTGAAATCAACTTCAAAAGGCACCACAAAGACCTCTGGGTGTGCATGCTGCCTTCAATGATTCCACAGCTCATTTGAATCTGGATTATAGATGTGTATGTCCCCCCCATGCTCCATTTTACAGACATCATGATCTCTCATGTATGTCTGTCAGCTGTGATGAGACCAACATCAAGGGGGAGACTAAGGCCCTGGGTGTTGTTCAATCAAGCTGTTCTTATGCAATGAAGATGCATGCAGCAGTGCCACATGCCTACTCATGTATTCCAACCCTGGGTACAACTCCCTGGTATCAGGGTGAGGATAGTACATGGCAGGGAAACCCATCCATGTCTGTGTGTGTATCATGATACATGATCTTGCTATGCAGGCAAAAAAGGTGAGCCCAATCAGATCTCTTAATTCATGCATCTGAGATAGGGTATAAGACTCAGGCTGGGGAGCAGACCCAAAGCTCTCACACTGTCATCCAGGGATCTTGAGGTCATGTACAAGTTCAACCATCTTCCGTGTCCGTGCAATTGGGAGATCAAGCCATTGGCTCCAATGTCCCGCACCAACTGACATCCCTGAGTTATGAAGGAATTATGATCCCTGAGGTACAAAGGAATTGTTCTTATGACTGGAGGGGATGTAACACTTAGCATGGAGCCCAATGTGGCAGGTTTTCCCACAGTGCACGTGACTGTTTGAGCACCAGATAAGCAGAGATAAGTAACACTTACTATGCTCACATTAGCTGAGTTTCAAATATCAGACTCCCAGACAATGTGACTTGCACCAACACACCCAAACAAGTGCTGTGGCTGACAATTCCCCATGGACTTGGGGCTCCTGTAATGTCTAGCTTGGAGCCCAATATGGAAAGTGGTGAACATGGCATGTGACCTCACCAGCAGCACTGGGCTTCAATACAATCAATGGCTTTTTGTAACAGTAAGCACCCACAAATGGATATGGTGATTATGTAGTCAACTTGTAACCCATGTTTCATAGAGCCTGTAGTAATTTTGTTGGGCCCCAGTAATGGACAGTTAGGCCAGAAAATGCAAAATACAAAAAATCACAAGTGACTTTGCAGAATTCAAACTGCTCATTTTCACCCTAGATATGGAGCACATGACCCATGCAGTATAGCCATGTGTGTCAGACATCCCAAAATGCCTTATGGTGCCACAACATAGCCCAGAATGGGCAAGGGTTGGCTAATTTGATGCTTGTACATGGTGATATGACTTACCTTCCATATATGGTAATATGGCGTCAACATCACAGCCCTCATCAACATGCCATAGTGCTCTTTGAATATCCTCTGATTTATCTGCAATTTATGAGCCACCAGACTTCTGTACTCTTATGCCAGTGTACCTTCAATTCATCAGTGATCAATCCTGCCCATGACTCTATCAGTCTTGATGGCACTTACTATGGTGATACATTGCTTCACATTGTACTACATGAGCCCATTACTATTGACTCAGGAGCTGAGCTCCATTCCAGTAACATACCTTAGTATGGCTTTGTACTACTGGTCAGTGTCTGGTAACTGTTCACTTATGGTGAGAGCAAACTGCACATTCTTTGGTTGTATTCCTTGTATAACACATCAATTCTTGACAGGCCTTTTTCAGAATTCCTTACTGGTATACTTCTCCTCTGTATATTGGTTCCATCCTCCACTGTTGATTGGTTTGGACTTGGGGAAGTACTGTTAACAATCTACTGAAAGACATCCTTTGGTGTCAGAATTTCTCTGATCAAGGGCTAATACTTGTACAACAGCACTGACAGCAAGTCCCAACTGAGTAGTGGTTACTGTAGTCAACCCCCCAGATTCCCCTTCCCTGAGTTCTAGTTGATCTAGAGGATCTCCTTACTTATTTGCAACATTCCCAATCTATTTGCTCTATGTTACTATCAATACAAACCAGTAACACTGCTCATTAGTATTCAGATCATGTTGATAAGCAACTTGGCAATTTACCAAGTAAGAAACAGATCCATAATGTCTGTTGCTCATGATTGCAAGCTATGATCCTCATATTACAACAACCTAATAAATTAGCAGGCTACTCTGAAGTGCAAAATGTGGAAGATACGTCAGTACTCTATGCATAGACAATATACTAGCAGTCTTGCCAAGCATGACTTCTGATGTGGGCAGCATGAAGTTGTTCATAAATTGACATGTATCCTACCAAAGGGATTGTACTGCCAGCTATGGCCCTCTCCCCAGCAAGTACATGACTTACGGTGACATATCCATACCCTAATCAAGATGTGATGCCCATATTGATACATTGCTGGTACTTATCCGTCCTGCACGTGACTGTGGCTGAAGTGCTGATAGTAGTCAAGAGTGCCTTGGGTGTATCTCATCTAGAATATTGCAGCTACACATGGTGCATGTGACTTACTGTTTTTCCACAGCTGAGCCACAGTTCATGAAGAGGTATCATGAGTGTAACAGACTCAGCATAGCTGATCTAAACAAACTGTAACATGAGGAGGTCTGGGCCAATGTAGTATCAATCTGTAGGGAAGTATATGACCTACTCAGTTCACAGGATATAATAAACTCTGAGCATTGTCATTATTGAGTTAATTGTCACTCCCTATCAAATTTCCATGATACAAAAGCCTGCCAGTTTGGAAGTAGTATTATTATTCAGTGCTTTGAGACAGCACATAATATTCCAGACATGATAACACAGGACAGCTCAGCTGCAGCTGGGCAAGAACAATGGTACAACCACACATGTCATTGGGTAAAGGCTGTATGGCAATATTGGCATAGCTATCAAGGATCAACAAAGTTTTCTGGAAAAGAAGTATGCACATTATGGATTCTCTAGGATACTTAACATTCAGAATACAGTGCCCTTACAATATCACTGTAAGTATTATGGACTGAGCCACATAACTATAATGATACTCCTTGTGCAAGGTTAATGTTATTGTCACAGCTTGACAACAGTTTGGTCTGGTAAAGCATAGAATTGAGTGTCACAGACTAGTATATATCAATGCATTTGGTAAGTGAGATTCAAGCAATGATTTCATGAGCCAGAAGACAAACTACACAGACAATACAACTGATATTGTATTGCCATGCATGGCCCACTCCCCAGCAAGTGTTCTTATGACTGGAGAGGATGTAACACTTAGCATGGAGCCCAATGTGGCAGGGTTTCCCACAGTGCATGTGACTGTTTGAGCACCAGATAACCAAAGATAAGTAACCTTTACTATGCTATCAGTAGCTGAGTTCCAAATTTCAGACTCCCAGACAACACAACTTGCACTAACACACCCAAACTTGCTGGGGAGAGGGCCATGGCTGGCAGTACAATCCCATTGGTTTAGACACATTGAGGTGTGAAGAATTCATTATTGCCCATTTTCACTGTCTAGTTGCTGCCTGACAGCCCAAATACTCTATGCATCCTGGTTATCTACGTTGTTGATTTCAGTGCTCCATCATGAGCAATATTACAATTGAGCAAGTAAGCCACCATGTGTTGTGTGTCATTGCTATATTCATAGGAAACTGTCTGTGAAGAGCACATACTTACACTGAGACTTGCACATGGAATCATTATTGCATTTGCTCAGTATTCCAGTAATGCCTACTCAATGGTCATGGTATCCAGGCATAAATCCCATGAACACAAAGGTTTTCAACCTTTGTGAGATAACTTTTGGCTTCATCTGCTGGCTGACACTTACTTCTTTTGTATGCATGCACAATTCACCACCATATTGCTCTTGTTCAACCACCCTCTCAATATATACAGAGTCTCTACTGTTTATTTGGAATGGCAGGTACTCCACCAGATATTACTGCAATGCACCATGTGTTATAATACCTGCTTCTTGGACCCTCCCATGATATATACAACACTGTTAAAATGGCACACGTGTTCACTCCTGGGTCTATGGTGTTATTGTGTGACTTTCCATATACCATCAAAGAATCCAGCATGAGTAGCTGACATTTTATGCTAACATGTGAAGGGAAATGTTGCTGCCAATGAGAGTGATCCAAAGTCACTTATTATTGACTCGAGATCTAGAAAAGGACAGTCAGATATTTGCCTAGAAGTCCACTATAAGTATGGTCTGTTGCTGGTTGCCTAGTGGCAGTCTGAGTGACAGTAGACATTGTACAAATAGACATCATCAATACATGGTACAATCATTCCCTGCCCATATGAACAAACCAAGAGCTGCCAATTATATCACCCAAGGCTCATTGCGTAACTTGAACAATAGGACCTGGTAACACATCAGCCTATAATATGATGCTAGAGGTTAGATATGCTCCAAGCAATTATCATATGAGGGAATAGAGTTGATGTTATCTCATTCTCCACCATTTGTCCAGCACTGCAGCAACTATGAAGGGCTGGGATGTATGGTAAGTCTGCATGTCTAGTTTCTCACCTCATGACACTGGTAGTGTATACAGTTCTCTAGTAAGAGTAGCAAGTGCACAGTACAGTGTCTCTGTGTCACTTCTAGGATCAGTACAGTGTGAACAAATTCTGGAACCCATATTTGTGATGGCTATGCCATTATACAAGGGACATGCAAAGCAAAGTCAATGTTATGAGTGTTTCTAGCATTGAATGGTACCTTTGTGCTGCAGGTACTCATTGTTGAGTGATCATGGTCCACATAAGGGGCTGAGAAGCCAATTACTAGTTACAGCAAGTAGTACAAGGTTGGAATCATACATAACATTTCCTTGTTTTGTCTGCATTTTCTGAGCCCAGACTCAACAAGTAATTCAAACTTTCCAGGTCAGCTACTACATATTATTGACATAATTCATAGGTAATTGGTAAGCATCACAGGAAACACAAACAATGTAAAAGAATGAGTGTGAGGCATGTGCTTTTTATTGTTCTTTGTTGGATGGGGCTATACTTATATGAAAGTATGGGAAGGCATACTATGTACAGACTCTATGACACATCATATGTGACTGAGAATATACCCAATCGGGTTTTTTTCATTTTTGGGAGGCCACAGCACAGCAAATACAGTGTCACTGATGAGCTTGTGGCTGGCATTCAAGCTCAACTCCAAAGTTTGGCAGCCTGCATGTTCAGGGCCTGTTGAGCTGTTGAACTAAACACAACAGCTTAGGATCCTGTTTGGAGTTGCCAGTTCCTGACAATTCCAGGTGATACTGGTGGTTACAAGATATACAAAGACTCACTGAAAGAGTGGCTTATATCAGGCCATGCATGGGAAACTCTGCACTATCATAGGTTTTTTGCCACATGTGAGCCTCAATAGTGAGCACAATATGAATGTATAGTACTCCTGGATTTCTCTCTGATTTTCCTGCTATTATTCAGTACTGCAGAGGCCATCAATGGTCAACTTCCTAAAATGGGCAGGAGACTAACCATATATGGCAGGTTTCTATGTCTGCTTCAAAGACTCCCCTCATACCTGTGGAGTCCTCTAGTAAACATGCTTACCAAGATCTGCTCATATGCCTCAGTATCACTTCTCATGGTCAGTACTCTCAAAGATACCTAATATGGACACCCCCATCAGTATCCATGAAGCATCCCATGGAGAAGGAATATTTGGGTATTTATTTGGGTATTTTTGCGCATTTAATGGGGCTCTAGTAAGAGCTCAGTTAGTGTGGCTGAAAGCCATCAAAAAACTCGGCATGAAGAGCTGAGATTGAAAATTTACTTTAAAGGGGAATATTTGTCAGCATCCCAGCCAATGGGAATGTTCCAAAATCCCTTTTGAGTGACCAGAGTTAGTGTTGCGGCAAGTTGAGCTAAGCCAAGCCAAGCTCACCGACTCGATCCCAACTCAAATTTCGAGTTGGTGCCGAGTAAGCCAGCGAGTTGGCTTACAAGCCAGATACTGCAACTATACAGCTATTCACACGGTCGCAAGCAAATCAGATTGTGTGTGGAATGGTCTCGGCGAAGCTAGTGTCGTCGTGTCATTGTTGACTTGATGGTCCAGACAGGTACGAAAGGCATTCGGAATAGCAGTAGTAGTATTGTCAACAGTAATATGTATACAAGCTACTTTTGTCCAACTTCCTGGTTAGTGATGCACAGGCTTGCAAGCCACCGTTAACTTAGCCGCTGCCATTCTCGGTCATAACTATCAAAACTGTGGCTTATTTCATATATTTGTCAGCTAGAAATATCATTTTTGGCTAATAAGTCCAGCTCGCAGGGCCCGAGAACCGACTCATCAGCCGTTGCTCAGCATACAAAAGTACATTTTAATATGGTTTATGTCGTGCATTAGTCTCAGTATAGCTAGATATAATCAGTATCAAGCATATACATAAATCAATTTCCACGCCAAAAACCGAAGAATTAGTGCGCAGGGTGCACACCGCCGCACCGACCCACGATCCGCGTACCCGTACTCTACCCACGTACCCGTACCCTACCCTCGTACCCATATCCTACCCGGCTTCACCACCGGTGTTGGTGGTGAACCGCGGGTCCGGTACCGTCGGTGTCGGCACTGTCGGGTGCTCGGGTCCAGGCTTGTTGCCCTGCTTGTGTCCGTAGTTCACTCGGAGCCGGGAAACTGCCCTGCGTGGTCGCCCTCGCCCATGCCGTCACCCTTACCTGCACCCTCGCCCACCGTCCACTCGCCGGCCGCATTTGCACACAGGGCATTTGCCTTGCGTGCTCGCTGTCGCCATATGTGTCGTATCGCCGCGCCCAGGCCGCCGACTGGTCCTCGCTGGCCTGCCGTCCTCGACTGGTCCTCGCCCGTCTGACGCTCACGCACACGGTGTTCAGCGCACTCGCCGTCGGTGCGTGGCCGTGTGTGGTGTTTCCCCGCCCCAGCCGCCAACTCGTCCCGACAACTCGCCCGCCGTCCTCTACTTGTCCTCGCCCTATCTTCATGCGTGCGGTCCATTCGTTGGTCACATTTGTGTGCTCGGCATTCGCCCTGCACGCTCACGGTTGCCGTATGTCGTCGCCTGCTTCTGTGCCCGCCAGCTCGCTCGTGCCCGCTCGCCCGCCTATCCGCCTATCCGCCTGTCTGCGTGCGCCCTTTGCTCATGCGCCCGCGGTTCGTTCGTCGGCCGTGTTTCCGCGGTTCTGCGTGTGCGTTCGCTGGTCGTGTCTGCGTGCTAGGCATTCGCCCAGAGTGCTCGCGGTCGGCGTGTGCTGTCGCCACCAGTGCTGTCATCTACCAGCCCATCCGACCGCCTGATCCCTCGCTTGCCTGCCCACTCACCCATTAGTTGGCGCGTCCACTCATGCGCCCGCCGCCCGTTCGTCAGCCCCATCTGCACGCAGGGCAATGGCCCTGCGCACTCGCCGATGACGGGCGCATCGTACATGTCGCTGCGACCTGTGTTCGCTGTTAGTTCATAAGCCCGTGCACGTCTCCACTCACACTCAGGCCTCACCCATCCCTCACCCGTGCGCCCGCCGACCGTTCGTCGGCCCCGTCTGCACGCAGGGCATTGGTCCTGTGCGCTCGTGGATGACGTGCGCGTCGTGCAGTAGACGGGCACCGCACGTCGCTGCGCCCTGTGCTCACCGTTAGTTCATAAGCCCGTGCACGTCTCCACTCACACTCAGGCCTCGCCCATCCCTCACCCGTGCGCCCGCCGACCATTCGGCGGCCTGCACGCAGGGCATTGGCCCTGCGTGCTCGCCGTCGCCGTGCACGTCGCACTCCATATCACGCCCTCGGTATGCTTGCTAGTGCCGCCGGGATCGGGGTGGTGGTGGTGCTTGTACACGCCCAATGTTTGAGTGAAGACGTGCGTCACGGTGCGTGCAATGACAACACCACCCAATACGTACTCGGCTTGATGCAGGGAGGTCCGGGGTGGACGTAGGGCTTGGCGAAGCACGACGGTGGTGGTCTATAGGGAGTAGTTAAGCTGCCGGAAACGAATATGATACGTACCGTGCTCGAAACACGTCTCGACTCGTCTTGCTAATCAACTTATCTTGCACATGCGAACCATCTCGTCGCGCAAATGTGCCGGGTCGGGATTGCGAGATGAGAGAACGAGAGAGAGAGGGAATTCGATAGAGACGGGGTCCTGCTATCGAGGAACCTGCGGACTTCTGTGATTGGCTCATACTCCGGCCATTTGAATATCTTGTTGGCAAAGTCCGTGGTCAAGGTGCCATCTGTCGGCGGACACACCCCCGAAGCCGTCACTTCAGCTGCCCAGAATCTGCGCAAGAAAAAGTTCGCCGAGTCTGACGTGCCGAGGTTTCCTTCCACACCGAGCCCGAGCTCGAACCCGAGCCGCGCGTCATGGGTGGATGCAAGGTGGATGTTAGAGGACGTCGCGACCAGATGGTGACAGCAGAGGTGAGGCCACCCGCGAGCGACACTTTGGGCGCTCGTAGGTTGCTCCTTATGACGACGTTAAACTGCTAAGGGTCTACAGCACCGCGCAACACCGTAGCAGCGACGAGGAGGAGGAGGGAATTACACTCAATGACTTAGTACCTACGCAAATCTAGACACGCCGATTCGTGACTCGGAATCGTACCCGCACCCGAGGATGCCTCAGATACGCTACAACCAACGTGGAGCATACATTCCTTGAACAAGCCGATAGCGATACACATGCCTACATTACAGTACAATGTCCGATAGTGCATAGAGACTAACTAAATATCTTTCCACTGTTGACTCTGAGACCTAAGACTTCGCGTTCGTGAGCAATTGAAGTTCTCGAACGAGTAGTATATGTTGGGCTTACACTCGTACACCACGATCTTCCGGCCTTTGCTCCCAATCGTACGCGTTCTCGCCTGCGTCGGAGACGCCTGAACGGCACTGTCGGAGCAGGTTGCGGATGTATAGATAGTTCGGGCGTTCGTCGAACTTCAGCGTCATGACGTACTCGACGAACGCGCAGAACGCAGTAGGAAGCCCCTTGCAAAGCCGCGAAGGCTTTACTTTGGCCTTTGCTCTTGTTAACAGGTCATTCCTCTTTGCCTTGGCGGACCCGGGGATGCCTTGCCAAGGCAGCGAGCCGCGAACGAAAAAGAGTAGGATGTATGCGAGCGAGATGAGGTCGTCGCGACGCGAGTGGGCAATACCGTGGTGTATATTGATGGACGAGAAGAGCGGGGTGCCAGTTGCCTCATGTTCATCGTTGTACTTGATGTGCGCGCGAGTGACGATGTCGATGTACGGGACAGCCAAACCCAAGTCGATGAGGTAGAGCAGGCTTGTCTGGTCGCCTACACCGACCAGAAAGTTCGCAGGCTTCAGGTCACGATGCACGTAGCCCCTCGCGTGAAGGCTTTCGAGCCGGTCGACCTAGACAAATGGATGTAGCTTGTCAGTTCAGTTCTAATCAGCGAAGGGGTGGCCTACTGCCTGCAGCGCGATTCGCAGGACTGTCCCGAGAGTAAATCGCTTCCCACAGAAGTGGAAAAGTGTCTCCAATGACGGCCCTAGCAGGTCCATTACGAGGTAATTTACCTCGTCCATCGTACCGAACCCGTGCATGACGGGGAAGCCTTCTGTATATTTGAGGGTGTCGTAAACTTCTTCCTCGTTTTCCAACTGGTTGACCCGGAAGTCGCATGGCTCCAGCTTCACCGCGACGTCAACATGCTCGCAAATGTCGAGGGCTTTGTACACTTGACCTAGATCGTGACCACGATCAGTATGTAGGCCAGATGCACTAGTTAGTGCGCACCGAACGACCCTGCTCCTATCAATTCTCGCAACCGGTACCGACCCGCAATCTCCGTAGGTGCATCCACCTCTGAAGCATCCATGTTGAGCATCTACCACACTTGTCACACATCATCGGTATTGTAATCGCTGCCACATCAGCGAGTGGTGGGACCTACAAGAAATAAAATAAAATAACACTACGTACAACCGTTTCGGTGACACTGCGTATGATGTCAGCATCTCACTCATGGAGCAAGGGTATGATCATATGCTCACAGAACTACGGTAGCCGATGTCAGGGCCACTGACAACATGAGGGTCGGGGACAAGGTGATGCATCAGTCGCCGTTCGCAAATGAACGTGATCATGTGACGTACTGGGCTTCTCGATGCTCGATGAAGGCTGGACCTCGTCAGGGAACTCGAAGCCGTCGTCCTCAGTAGATCGCGTCCGCATGAAGTACGAGCGGCGCGTTATTTGCTGTAAAGCCCCGCAGCGAGATAGGACTGATGAATAAAATAGAACACGGGAAGGTCAGGGTCAGCGGTGCAAACACCGAATATAGACGTGTTTCGGTGTGTTGACAAGAGAGGTGTGGACGGAACGAGGGAGCGAGTTATACAGATGCGAGAAAGCGACCTTGTTCGTCCGGATATGCTGCCGAATGATGATGTTGTTGATGTTGTTGAACTCGTTCCAGTCCTCATCGAAATTGCCAATGTTTCGGCACAGAGGCTCGATCCGCACTACCAGGAATCGTCATGTTGAGCATTCTCACAGTTGAAAATAGAGACGACGCCTTGTCAAACAGGTAGCTCGAGTTGCTGTCCGCGTGGTCCGACAGGAGTGTCTGACCCAGCGGTACAGGTTCGCCATGATAGGCAGCTTCAGGTTCCAATACCTGTAGTAAGGCACGACGATCCTTTGACATGCGAGGTGCCAGCAAGCGGCTTCGCGTCGTAGAACCGTTCGCGTATCGCGGATTCCTCATCGAGTTCCATCCGAATGACCTCAAGACGCTCCACGTCCAGGAGGTCGTCGCCATACTCGTCAAGAGGCAGTCCTTCATCATGAACTGGCGGGAATCGCGTGCGGCGGTCACACTTCTCCCTTCGCATTGCTAGCGACATGCTGCTCCAATGGTGCGGCTGCGCTTCGACATGACAAGTTCTGCTGCAGTTATAACTGTGTAAGGGAGCATGGTCGCAGTCCCCTGGACGTGAGACACCGGGTGATACTGACCTTTCTCATCAGTGGAAAGGGCCGTGGACGAATCGCGAGGCGTAGATGACGCGTAGTGCAATGGAGACGCCGCGAAATGTCTAGAGCCCGATCGTCGAGAAACTCATTGCGGTTGAGAAGGCGGCGGAGCCCACGAGGGTCGACAGGCCTGAGATGAAGTCGAGCGTGCAGGCGAGCCAGACTGCATAAGCGTATCTGTAAGTTGGTGTATGGACGCGAGCATAGAGGATTCTGACCTATGCGGGCGGGTGACTTCCATTACACGCTGACCCACCGTCACGTAGCTAACCAGATCGACACTTACATGTGCGCCCGCGGCGAAGTCTGCTCGTCCTCAAAATACCAAACTAACGAGAAGCACAAACATACCCGAAAGCAAATAATGCGTCGTCAATTATCCCGACGACCGCGATACACGCCAGGCTTGCCCTCATGCTTCACCTCATCTCATCATCTACGCCCATCTCATCCGCAAATGTCTGGGGCGCATATTGGTTATAGAAGGCAAATACAAGAGAGGAAATTGCATACCTGGCGATGGCGGTGACGGCGATTTGGTCCAGGAGTCGAACCATCCCGCAATCCAGGATGCAGACACGGTCTGTTCTAGTTTACAGAGCTGGAGTGTCCAACCCAGGCATGATGTCAGTTTGGGTGACACTGAGGACTTCAACGATGAGGACGAAGTCCACAGGCGCGTCTCGATCTTCCCACGCCTGCTCATTCCATGCCTTCAAGGTCGTGCGCTAGTAAGCATCTTCCTTTTCCTCTTCTACGATTCACCACGCTTCATACTGCCGTTGTATACTCCCACTCCTTTACTCTGTGGACTCTACCCGTAACAGCATGAAAGCCTAGCTCTTGTTACCGATCTCCCCGACCCATTGGGCTCGACTAGCTAATTCTCGCGTGAGTGAGAACTTACTATGCACGACCGCTGATGGGCCGCGATAGGATAACGGAGCACATACCCCGAATACCAGACCACAAATATCAATGTTACGAATGCAGGACTTCAGGCGAGTAGTATGGTTCACTGCTGCATCCAGTAAATCTGACAGAACGTACGAGGATGCATACCGGCTTCGCCGTAATTCAAGTCCTTAGTCTCAGCTGTTATACTTCGTGTTTGGATGATCTACAAGAGGATCATTGAATGCACGGTGCGCTGATCTTCCGATATTTAGTATGAACGATCTGCAGGACAATTGAACGCACAGTGAGCTCGCCTCCCGATGTTTTTGGATGATATGCAGGAAGATCGTCGAATACACGGTGAGTTCATCTTCCGAGGTCAGTCTTGACCGCGGACATGGCCTAGAATAGATGAGTACACTTCAACTATAAGACGCGAGGGAGGTCTGCGACTCCTCGTCTCCAGCACCAGTCATACGTCCTCTTCTCGTATTCACTACTAGGGATGTCCCGTCCTCGTGGTCCTCGTGGTCCTCGTGGCGCTCGTGGCGCTCGTGGTGCTCCCGGTCGTGGCAGGGGTGGCCCTGCGCCAGCTCCAGTTCCCGAGGACGAAGATTTCACCCGCAACCTCGGCAACATATCGTCTGGCTCGGATGATGAGGATGTCGCCGCCCCGGCTCAGGTCGCTGCGCTTCCCCAGGGACAAAATTGGCTCACTTTGACTAGCGACCAGGCCGCACCGCCTATCCGCTCACAAGAGGCCCGGGTCCAGCCGCCCTCCGCGGCGTCCGCGCAGATCATGCAAATGCGAGCGGGCCTAGAGTCCGGTCCCGCCATGACACGGTCGGAAGCAAGCAAGGGAAGTGTACCTGACATGAACTTCTATTTTAGACTTGTCACCACCACTGCCCTTGATGTCGATCCCCCGAAGGTTGTCATTATATGCATCGTGTGCGAGTAAGTGACGTACAATAGAGTATATTTGTTCTGCTAATTTGAGCGACAGGAAAGCGCATCAGAAGGCAGTCGCTGAGGCAGAGGAGAAAGGCGTCGAGATCAACACCTTGTGGCCCTGCCACAACTATGTCTACGCGGAAAAAACGAGCAATAGTCCACTCCGAAGCCACCTCGACGCCTACCACCGCGACGAGTACACTCGCTTGGCTGAGGCCGGGCGCTGGTCCAACAAGCTGCCGAGCTACAAGGCCAAAGCGAAGGCTGCGGAGGTGGTGGCCGATATCGACCAAAACTATCCAGTGGTAGAGTATTCTCGCGAAGAGTTTCACAGGCGGCTCGTAAACTGGGTCGTCGTGGACGACCAAGTAAGTACGAGTTGTTTTGGGTATGTAAAGCAAACATTGACAGCATCATCAGCCAATCTCGGTGGTCGAGACACCTGAATTACGCCACCTCTTGCGGCTGCTCAATCCTGACCTCGCCGACGAGGACATCCCGAAGCGTAATCAGATGCGGTCGTTAATTCTGGCGCAGTTCAACCGCGCATTTGATCAGCTTAAGGCCCAGCTCAAGGTACGTGATATACGATGTTCGGATAACACAATGCTCACTCGCCGGATAGCTCTCGCGCGGTCAGATATCCTTTACCACTGATGGTTGGGATACTCAGGGTGAGCACGCACAGGGATACAAGCGAACGCATTACTGAGAGCGCGCGTGCAACCAGCTCGACGCGCCTACGTCGGTGTCACGGCCCACTGGATTGCCAAGGGAACACTGCCTACGGATATCGTGTTAAAGTCAGCCGTTATTGGTTTCCGGAGGCTCGAAGGAAGCCATACTGGTAAGTCCGAAAGCGTACACCTAGTTTTACTCTAATTTGATCACTTAGGGGTGAACCTCGCGAACGCCGTCTACTCTGTCCTGGAGCGCGCCGATATCTTGTCTAAGGTCACTGCATCAGTCTCATTCGAAGCAACCTACTAACTGCTTGTTTTAGGTCGGACGATTCACGATGGACTCCGCAACAGCGAACGCAAAGATGATGTCCGAGCTGAAGACGAAATTCGAGGAGAACCCGATCGCTCGTCGCGACTTCAATCAGAACCAGGATCAAATCCACTGTTTGGCTCATGGAGTCAATCGAGCGTCGCAAACTATGACCACATACATGGGAATCCAGGCTCCTGAGAGCGACGGTACCCAACCGGCAAGCAATCGCCGCGGCGACGCTGTGAAGATGTCCGTAGTGTCGAAGACTAGGGAGATCTGTATCGCAGTTCGCGCGTCTCCTAGCCGCCGCGACTCTTGGACGACGTCGGTTGCAATGCACAATGCCGGTGCGTTGGTCAAGAATGCGTCTCTTCCGGAGGACGCCCAGAAGGTCGACGTATTCCACGAGGACATGATCCTCGTGATCGACATCAGGATAAGATGGGACAGCACATATATCATGATCCTCCGTTTTTTGGCTATGCAAGATGTGAGTGCTCTTCGCTCACTATCAACAGATACTGATGTCAATCAATTTAGGTCTACAAGATCTTTTTGGACCAAAACCCAGAGTTCGCGAGGTCTTACCCCGCTATGACCCCCGGCGAAATCGAGACGCTGACAGAGACGGGCCTCGTGCTCCTGGTGCGTCAGTTCGCCAGTGCATATAAGTAGAATTGACAACTGTGTCCAGGCTGGCCACACGCTGCAGATGCTGTTGGCTGGAGAGCGCCAACCGTTGCTCGCGGATGTCATCCCCCAGTACGAGATCTACTTGACGAACATGGAGAAGCTCGCGGCGGTTAGGCCGCATCTCAAAGGCGTCATCATGGCGGGTCGGGATGTCGCGATCAAGTATTATAAATACATGGACCTCACTGATAGCTATATTCTTTGCATGTGTACGTGACCTTCCTCTTTTCTGACCAACTTACTAATTCACTGTCTAGTTGTTCACCCTAAGTACAAGCTCGATCATATGCGGAAGCACTGGGAAGAGCCCTACTACCAGCGCGCCGTCGACGTCGTCAAGCGCAGAGTAAGCAAATGGCTACTCTATGCAGTGCGTCTACTGATGCAACAATTACGGTGCAGATGAGGGAGTACGCGGCTCGGCGACTCCCTGTGGCAGCAGCGGCGCCTGCTGTGCGTCAAGCAGGACCATCGCAGCCGCAAAGGCCTCAGGGATTGCGCGGCATGTACGCGACAGCCGATGAAATCTTTGTCCGTAGCCTGGACGACGAGCAGCCTGTGGGCCGTGTCAACAACGCCGTCGACACGACCGTCGAGACCGAATACCTCTCTTGGGTCGAAAGAGGCGTTGGCATGGAGCTTACCGACGTGCTCGCATACTGGAGTGTGAGTTATTACCTCTTGTCTGACTCTGTTACTCTGTGGGCTCAATGCACTCTATCAGCTGCCCGCCGCGCAAACGCAGTGGCCTACGATCTTTGCGATCGCACTGGACTACCTTCCGACGCAGGCAACGTCGGTTCCCTGCGAACGAGTCTTCTCCTCCGCGGGGCAGACGGACACAGCTCGGCGCAGCCGCCTCAGCCCCGACATTATGGAAGCGTTGCAAATGCTGAAGTATCTCATCCGGCAGAGCCGACTGTCGTTTACTGACCACCTCAAGAGCTTCGAGTGGGTGCAGGACATGCTGGTGAAGCAGGCCCGCGCTGAAATGGACTATGGCGCTGACGAGAACCTCACTTTCGACGACCTCCTCGAGCTCATCTAACGTCTTCGCGTCGTGATTGTGCTGTTGTGGTATTGCTTGGTGGCCGTCTGACGTCGGTCTCGTTGTCTCTTCCATGTATTTGTATCACATTGCCTCGTATCGCGCTGTCTCGTAATCAACGTATCGCAGTTCCCTCATGTACAATATTGGATTGAAAGATGTTCATATGTGTTGCCATTGCACTAGACTTGCTCGAGTTCAGTGAAATTAATCCTCGCCGAGACCCGCCCGCCCTGGTACGTATGGTGCAATCTCCTCTCAGTGGCGGCGGTCGCTTTGCAGTCAGTTGCCGCCCTCTGTCTCTCACACCCACCACCACGCTCAGCACCGTCCCGGCTATACCACTGCGTCTCTGCAGCACCATCAGGAAAAACCTAGGTAACTTAAGCGGTCTTTAAAAGAACTAGTCGTACTCTCAGAGGCTTTACGCCCTTATATATGTACCAAAGTGCATTCAAGGTGCTCTAGAGCGCGTAAGGTGTACTTTCCATTGCTTAAGACACATTAGTCTGGACGTTTTCACTTAAGCCAGCAACGCAAAAGTCAGTTGAGGTCACACAAGCTTCGGAATTTTCAAGGCCGCATTTCAATTCACTTTGAGGTCTTAAACACAAGATCTATATGTATGACTAGCTACCACAGAGTCTGGTATGCATAGGAACTGGCCCAGTTGTTAAGTAGAAACTTCGAAGCAACATCTAGTACAGTATGAGTGTTCCAGTCAGTAGGTAGTTGCTCAGCTTTATCACCTACAGAACCTGGAAATGTAGGTATCAACTGGCAAGACTGACGTATAGTACTGAGGGGAATAATATCTGCAATGGGCTTACCGTCCGAACGCAATGGTGATTTATGAACTGTGTACATCATATGCGTAGGGTCAGGAGTGGTTGGGAGCTTCGCGAACCACTCTACATAAGCCAGTGGTCCTTGTTCTGCCCATGACGCAGGGGCGTTCAGGGGAACACGAGTGCGCGGGTCTTTAATGCGATTCGGAAGCCTGAAGATGACTTTAACGCGTCCGATTCTCGTTCCTGTTAGCAGACATCAATAGAAATCTTGGAGAAAGCTGTAGTAAGGCGCACCTTGTAATCCTGTAGCCTCGGCATCATCTTCTCTCAATACTACGACTGTATCGAACCGCGCCGGTTGTTCTCCGAAAGAAGGTCGCGCCCTGACTGCATCAGTCTCTTCCTTGCTGTCTGTCAAGGGTTCCGGCGCGAACTTGAACCCGTGGAACACGTCTACCCGATCGAAGGGCATATGAGATACGGCGGTGAGAAGCTGAGTGGGAGTGAGACGTCGATTGTTTTTGAGAATATAGATGTACTGTGCGAGCATATTCTTGAAACCAGGTGCGTTGTGTCTGTCTTCAATGCGATCGACGGACTGCATCGCTACCGTTGGATGCTTCGGCAGTTTGATGCTCGTCTTGCCAGTGTGTTCAACAGGGGGGCTTGTCTCTGACTCTTCTGCATCTTCTTCTTCATCGTCATCCCTCTGCAATTGTCTTCGCATTGTTGAGCTGAAAATTACCATCTTTTCCTGGCGTGCAAGCCAGATCACCATTTGCGGTCGCACGTTTCGATGATTCGAGGCCCTCCAGCCATTCTTCGCGTAATCGATATGAAGGCGTTCGAATGCCTCGGTATTGTAGTTGTCTGTTGTACCTAGGAGGCGAATTGATTCAATTGATTCAACGTATTGTAGGAGAGAGTGAAACTTACCTAGGAGGCGAATTGATTCAACGTAATGTAGGAGAGAGTGAAACTTGGGGATATTAAGGTGTTCTCGTACGCCACAATTGACGAGAACTTCCTTGTTTTTGTGAAAGACCTTGAGCGCATCTTCCATGTATTGAAGGGTTGTATCGTCGTGCGTCGGGTATTGCGCCAGGTAGATGAAGTCGAGTATGGCGCGAAATGCGACAATCGCATTCTTGGGGATCTTTCCTACCAGGCACCCGAGGAGAATTCGCGCCATGTATTTCCGTTCAGTGCCAGAGACCTGAGAAAGCGCCGAAATTCCGTTTTTGAAATGGCGAGTGCCAAAGGCAGGCGGCAGGCATCGAATGCGACGATCGAGCTCCTGTGCATCAATGAGTTCAGTACACCACTGGATGATGTGCTTGAAAACGCCTTGGTATAGTTGGTGTAGAACGTCTGGTGTGATACAGGCATGGATGTCCGTGTACGGTAGGTCTCGCCAGAAAGGACGCACGACGTATCCACAGACGTTCAGCTCGTTGCAAGCACGAGCGTACGCGGGCGAATCCTTCTTTCCATCGCTGTTCTCGGTCGCGAGACGCAGAACGTCCAGGGTCCATAACGAGGTTCGTGACGTGCCAGGAGTGGGAGATTCAAGCTTGTCTTCTGGGAGCTGACACTTTGGACAAGTACCGTACTTCGAGCATGTAACAAGGCATTGCTCCGGATAGTCTGCCACGTATGCGGCTAGAATGGGGTGCACCCTGCGCACCGCACCGTCCCCTCCGGTCACGTCGATACCGTGCTTTCCGGCCTCGACAAGGGGCTCCAAGATGACACGTACGGACGTGTGGAACAATTGCTGCGCGAGGGCGCGTTGCTTGCGTTTCGTAATGCCGTCCGAATCGATCTTGTCAACAGAGAGGTATCCTATGAGGATACATGCATGTTCAGACGGCTTGCGTCGCAGAGCTCGTGGTAGGTTTCCTAGCGTCATGTAAACAGGATAGGCTGACTTTCCCCCAGAGAACTGCGTCAGTTGCGTTTTGTCTGTTGCGATAATGACGGGCGCAACAGCAGCTCCGTCAGGCAAGAGACTCTGAGAACAACATTAATACAATCGCACTCATATACGTTCAAAGTAACACAAGACAACACTCACCTGCACAGCGTGCCACCAGCGTCCGGTCCACATCTCATGGTAGATGCGACTGGTTCGCGATCCGTCGCTGAAGATGCGACGCGGACGATAGACGATCTGACCTGCATGCGCCGGGTTGCCCAACAAAGTCCTAATGGCTTCGATGATGTCTCGAAACTGGACTAGGTGGCGCTCGTTTGGTCGGTCCTTGAAGCTCAGCCAACGCTCCTTCCATTCGGCACGCTCTGGAAGCGAATCCACTCGCTGAAGCAGGGAGCGCGAGTTGTGATAGGACAGACCTAGTCTTTCCTGAAACTAGGGTACGTTGGCCGCACATAGTCGCAATAGTAGTTAGTACTACACACAATCCAACCAGTCTGTAACGCAAGTCAACTCACCCCAGGAATCTCCAAGACTCGGTCTACAGAGCCTTGGCTCAGGCCCTCCTGAACGGCCCATGACGCGAATCTCCAGTCCATCTCGGACTGGAACGGCGCCCACGGGTTTGCGGTTTCTTCAATATCTTCACTGGGGTCTTTGTCTGTGCAATGAATTCTCACTGTTCAGTAACTTACGAAACTGTAGTACTGTGTAAAGCGGCTTACCTGGTGACTGTACCTCCCTCTCCTTCTCCCACTGCTCCTGCCAGCTCCTACGTACGGCCTCGTCGGTTCGAATAACCGTGGCAGCATTCAAGTCGACATCTTCAACCCTCATGTCTTCATCGTCGTCCAAGTTGATCGTGTTTCGTCTGGAATGACTCGAAGACGTGCCGGCAGTGTTTTGGTCGCCTTCAGTTCTCTGTGCAGAGACCTCTACGAAGTCATAGACGGACCCAATGTCGGAGAAGTCCTCAGGGTCTTCATCTGAAGATGCTGGGGAGTTGACAGGGCTGCTACGAAGGTTGACGTCTGCGCTCGTAGTTAATCGGCTTCCACCTTCGCCTCTGTCGTCTGGGTCAACATGGCTGGACGACCTGTAGAAGTACATTACATATGTCACTGTTGGAAATTCAGAACACTCACCGTCCTAGTCTATTAGCATCCCGAGGGCCTTCATCGTCGGAATCGGAATATTCAATATCCCCACAGTCAAATACCGCCTTTAATTTCCCCTTCTTGTACCATGCGCATCTACGGCTCATGGATTGGTGTGCGGCGAGGCCCTGCATTGTATCGAACCCTTCATTACACGCCGAGCATGTTGTCGAGAGCACGTCTTCCAAGGTGCGGCGTCTCTTTCCCATGACCTGCAATAATTAATTCACATCAGTCGTCAATTATTCAGAGGATGGAAGGACAGACGCACGGTATCTGAAGACTGGAGGAGAAGGTGGAAAAGACCGCGCAAGACGTGCGCGCCTGTACGCCGATCCCCTTACTCAATTGACCTTCCGTTACATAACGGTCTTTGACGTGCGTGTCCGCGGGACCTAGTGTTCCCACAGTGCGGCTGCGACTCTTCTCTTCTCAGCTTCCATCTCCTACCTGTCTGACTCCTCAAAACAATCCTACCTCTCACCGTCCTCATCTACTTGCCAATTCTCTCTGGGGTCTGTGACTTTGTGCTTTCCTCCATCAGACAAGCTTCTCGCGCACGGTTGATCACTGATCGAGGGTCGCCTAAGCGGATATATTGGCAACACCGTGAGTCCTACCTTTACAACGCGTTTGCTCTAGCTCTGCGATCTACATCTTGCTACGGACATACTACCTGGCCTGTAGCGCAGTGGCGTGGGAATATGCATGGAGCTACACGCTTCCCACGGCTCGGCCGCCTTGTTACGACACAAGGCGGTATCCGAATAATAGACAGAGTCAGGATCTGTAGCTGAGGCCTCAGGCCTCGGGTCCCCTTTACCATTCACGATTTACGAACTGCTGTATTCTACCGCTTTGCATCACTCTGCGCGCACACTATGGCTTCACGCCCTCCCGCTCGGCCTGTGGTCGCGCAGCCCTACGTCTCCTCTTTCTACAACACAGCGGACCTCTCTGACGGTGTCAAGGCAGTCAACTTGGAGTATAGGGAGCAGAACTTGAGAGACCTCGGCCGCGAGGATAGCTTAGAGGGTATGTTGTTTCGTTGGACGACCTGGAAACAGAGAGCAGTCAAACACACGGTGAGTAAGAGCCTCCTTTCCCCTTGCCAGACCGCTGATCATTGCTCAGACTACGCAGAGTCTGAAGGTCATTCAAGCGCAGACACCGGCAACTTCACAGACATCGCGGACCTCGGCATCAGCGACGTGCTCGACACCGATATCGAGCATCCGGTCATTAAGAAGGTGTTCGGAGACCTAGTCGAGGATCCTCTGTGGCCGCATCTCCACGACGTTCAAGAGGTAAGTAACCACCATCCTACGACGTACAACTTCACGCTAATCGCGCAGTAGACAGTTCAGCTTGAACCGTCTGATTGGGACAAGCTCGTTGAACTTGTGCACGAGCACAAAGACGTGTATGAGCTCTTTTCGTGAGTCTTCCGTGTGCGTCGAGCGTAGCGTTCAAGTTGTGTTGGCTGAACGAATCCTCGAATACGATAGCTTCCACTACAACCACAACAGCCACATCCTCACCATGTCGACACCTACCAACGTTCATGAGCATGTCAGCAACCTCTTCGGCGACTTGCTCGCCGTTTGCTATGGCGGGCCTTGCGTCCTGAATATGCCCGGCTTCAAGGGCGTGCTCACGGCGGACACCAAGAGGAAGTTTGTAGGTCCTCTTCCCACCCCGGATGACCCTTCTCGCCACGTCCGCAAGTTGGTTGGACCGGCGCTGTTGGTCCCGGACGGGGCCGTGACGCTTAGATTCCCGGTCCTTCTGCAAGATGACAACTACGATTTGCGAGTCGAACATGGGGAGCACGTTGTCGGAGTCTTCGAGAAGGGGTTTAACGAGGCGTGGGATCATCTTGTGTTTCATGTACGTGGTGAAGGTATCGCGAGTTGATGTCTACTAACTGCCTTGACAGTTTGGCCAATACAGCATCCCTCAGACATTGAACAGGAACTCGAACGAACTTCCGGTCTTCATGCTCACTGTCAAGGTCGTCGAGCACCCCAAGTACCAATCTCCACATCCGTCCAGCAAGTCCACGCCTGAGCAGAAACAAGCATTGCGGAACCACTGGATGCCGATCGACGGCAGAACTCTACGCAAGCTCGAGCCAACGGACCCGGGCAACATGTTGACCGGTAGAGTGACCATAGGTGGTTACACGTTCTGCGGGGAACTCGAGGCTTACATCGTCATCATCGGCTTCTTCAACGAGCACAGGGCTGCTTTGGAGCAAGGTTACCGAGAGCAATGGACGGTGGATGAATGGGTGAAGAAGGGCCAAGGAATAGTGAGTCAAATCAAATCTTTTCGTCACTGCGAGCTCACAACAACGCATCTTCTAGAAGGTCCGCAAGAAGTACGAGGGCGATGAAGCGCAGAAACTGAAGGAATTCACCGACGTGTGGAAGTCCGTGTTCACCAAGTATCGACTTCGTATCTGGGAGAAGGGTGGTGAGGCTTGGCGAGCCTACGCCAAGGCTCAGCAGGCGAAGGGTGACAACGTCTACTTGCACGACGGCGTTCGAGGCGCCTGGAAAGAGTACCTCCTTTCGGCGCCATTCAACAAGTCCAAGTCAGAGGCGGACGAACTGCCTCTGAGCGATCTCATCACCGCCATCACGACCGGTGCAATTGCGACTGCTACTGAACGCTTTGATACCTTCAAGCGACAGGTATGCGGGTTCTCGCCGGACCTGCCTGCTCCCGACATCGTACCGGATGTCAGCCGAGCGAATGAGTTGGAGGACGACGTGTTGAACGTGAAGCGGAAGTACGAGGAGTGGATGGAAGAAGCCGAAGCCGAGCTGGACGTCCAGGAGCCGGACGTCAAGCGTCCTCGTCAAGGCGATAACAAATCTGACTGAGTCGTCTATCGGCGATGACGGGGTGGACACTTGCGTACGGACAGGTCGTGTGGTCATAGTACGTTCTGGTGCTCCCTGTGTTATTTTCTCATTACATCATTCTATCGTCTCCTTGTCTTCTGCCACCTCGTCTTCTTCTGCCTCCTCGCCTCCTCGCCTTCTCGCCACTTCGCCCCGCGTCGTCTTCTCATCACATCGTCTCGTAGTCGCCTCGTCTCTTGTAGTCTTCGCTAGTTGTACCGATCGTCGCCTCGAGTATGTCATCTTTTCTACTGTTGTAGCTGTGTAACATTACCTATCCTTCCTCGAAATGCGTATGATTCATCCGTTATCATCGAAGGCGTCACAGCGACCCAAGGGAAACGTGATGCTTATCTTTATTTGCTCACATGTTGGAGTAAGGGCCTCCGACTTAGTAACTCTGAATACCGGGATATACGCTTACTCAAGTTCGCTACATAGCCCCTCGACATGCGACTCACCAATGCTGAGGCTCAAGAACTTCTGGAACTACTCTCTAGGGCACCGATACTAAGCGAAACGTTGTCTGCTTTATTGGCACGATTACAAGGTGTATATGTTCTCGAAACTCATCAAAGTAACGATGGACCTTGTCGTGAAGAGCTTCACCATCACCATGAAGCATCTAGCAATAAGGATGACATGATAGAAACGGTAACAGAAGTCGCTGAAGGTCGGATCCATTCGAAACTCAGCTACCACAGCTTTGAAGAAACTAATATTAGCTTCAGATTTGGAGTGTAGCACAGACGTGTTCGTACCACCGTCTTTGGCTGCAGATCACTGCCATCAGGAAGACGTGTTAGAGGATTCAACCGGTGAGACTTTATCCACTTTACAAGATTTTCATTTGAGACATTCGGTCCTTAGTGAGCTCAGTGGGCGCGAGGCGGCTTTCACAGCGTCAATGCACCCCGAGGTACACTCCCTACATCGTTCCAGGCCAAGGTAGTGGAACTACTTCGGCTAACGCGAACGTAGCCGCATTGCCATTACCTCCCTGTCCTCGGGGAGGTATCAATTTCATTTGCGCCTCAGCAGGATCATCGACTTGGGAGGCAAGGGCTGATGCGCAGTTCCAAGCCGCGCGACCAGCAACTACCAATCTTATAGTCAGTCTCGCAGCAAACCTGAACACGAACGAAGTCATTGCTGCGTCGCGTTCAATTGTGTCGCGTAGTGTTGCAGAGGCCGGTGTATTTGATGATAACCCTTCTGGAACCCTGGCCAGCTTGGTGCGATACTGCGCAGCACTCGAGTGCAAGGGAGCTGCACACGACTTCATCTCTATGATCACACTTATACAACTGGTGTATAAGTGCGCAAGGTATGTTTATCTGTTTTTTCAGTGGACAGTTATCTGACGTTGAAGCTTCAGTATTTCCGATCCAGGCAAGGTCAACATCGCAAAGATATGGAGGGTTCACGTTTCACACATAATGAACCCCCCCTCCAAACGTACATTTCAAGCGTGGCATGCGTTGGGTACGAGGTTTGCAAAGGTAGCTGAAGGAGGTCAGGCTCTTTGCATTCAAGATACACAGTGGCTCATACGTTCTGTAGGAACTGTTTACGCTCTTATGTTGATTGCTATCAAAGGTCTTCGTGTACGTCTTGCAGAAGCTGAGGGTTCCATTGGTGAGGAGATGGGCAACATTCTGAGAAGACCAAACACAAGTGAGTATACCTCCCTGAGCATCGGCATCGTCAATAGAAATGAATGCTTACTATGAAAACGATAATAGACACACAAGTCGGACGAGTGGTACGAAACACGCTCATACCCTTGGTGGCTCTGCTGAGGGTGGAGTGTCCGTTGTACCTATCGGCCCTGTTCGATCGGGATACTGTCGTATTGCAAGGACTGACACTGGACTCGATCTGCGGTGACCTTGACAGTTCTGATAGATTATTCAAGGTCATTGCATCCAAGTACGTAATGATGTGCTTGCCGACTGTTTGCCAGGCTGATGGTTCGAGTGAACTTTAGCTCCTTTGCGCTCTTACCTCGAGATACTATTGCCTGGGCGTCGTGCACCGGCATCATAGAGATCTCCCCAAGTTCCCTCACGTTCAATGCAGGTCCCTCTGATCAAAGGTCGCAAGAGACCTGCGTTACCGTCGATCAAAGAGAGTTGTCGCCATTGACCCCATTGTCATCCGATCTCGAACTAGAGTCATTCGATCTCGATCAAGACGCATTCGAACCAGATCATACATCTATCCCACCAACCTCTACCAATTGTACACCAGTGATCACAACGACGTACGATGTCTTTCACGAGCGTAATCAACGCTTTACTGCGTCAAGAGACAGACAAGAGAACACCGTTTGGACGGAGCGTAGACGTGATTTAGCTGGGAGAGCGAGTGTTCCAACAACACGTCAAGCTCTGGAGCTAGAGGTAAAGGATCAACATATATACCAGCTAAAAACGAAGCTGATACCTCTGACTGTTGTAGCTACAGAGTATGTACTCTGATGGCACTCGATCGAATGGCAAGCACTACGTTAAGATAGAGCAAAATATCTTCGAGTGAGTGTCTCCCTTGATAGTGGCTCATGTCTCGGTCGCTCATTCCTTTGTAGGGATGGTCTTATTATTGAGGACGTCAACTCAAACACCATTGTTGGCATTTGTGCATCAATGCCGAACAACATGCGCGAGAACTTGACTGATCATCTCACCTCCTGTTTTCCCTTCGACCCGCTGAAGGCGATTCGCACTGCGTCTACTGCTGGTGATATAACATTCGAGGTACTGCACTTCTCGTGGTACAATCGCCATTGTACACAGGTATGTACTACAGTACGCATCTCTGAAGCTCATCTAACAATGAAAACAGGGCAACTCTGCCCCTACAGATGTGCCTCCCTTCATGCTAGGTCGACCGAATGGTCTCAGAATAAATTACGCGCAAATGTTGCCGTACATGTCCAAGGATATGACGCAACACGAAGATATATATCACTCGTTGAGAAATGTGCTGGGCGACGTCTTTGAGTGGCTCGACTACAAGGTGATTTGCTAGTGCGCTCTCCTCGTTAAACGCTTTCGGCTAAATAGCTTATTGTAGCTAGGAATGATGTTTCCGAACTTCTACACCACACTTGAGAAGTTCGTGGAAATATTGCCGGGCAACAACATGCCGTTATCTGCTCCGTTCCTCGGTCTTGTGGTGAATTTGAACGTCGTCACTCAAGCACACCGAGACAGCAAAGACTACGGTATGTGTCTAGTGCTTGCGATCGGTGACTTCACTGGAGGAGAGCTATGCCTCGAAGAACCTGGCATTGTAATCCCTCTGTCCTGTGGGGATTTCGTTGTCTTTCCTTCATCTCATATCACTCACTTCAACCTCCACTACGAGGGACGTCGCGCTTCTATTGTCCTACATACCGACAAGGAGATCACAAAGTGGTACTACGGTGATCGTAATGGCTGGGCTAATAACGAAGCATTCAACTAGTGTAACAGTAATGTATTTTGTTCTGCTGGGGAAGTGCGTTAGGGGGAAGCTTCGTATGTTCTAGAACCCGGGTCTCGCTGAAGTCTTCAAGCTGATCGATGACGCGAACTCCGCGAGTACGGCGGCCGTCGAATCAGCGAAAGCTTGCGCTGGGCACTGCTCGTGCTCTCTCGCCTTCCTACAACCCTCTGGTCTCCCAGCCCTCGAGATGGCATCGCGAACTCGCTCTGGTACTCGAAAGCAAGCCCCAGGACCTCAACAAACTGTGACATCGCAAGCGGCAAAAGGCGCCGGTAAGAAGGGAGGCGCGAAACGTCAGCAAACGGCCAATGCGTCGCCTGAGAGCGACGTTCCCAACATCGACACCAGCGGTCTGTCCAAGTCTGACGCACAGGCCTTAGCGAAGCTTCTCAAAAAAGCGAAGGATGCGAAGCAAGCTGGCGCCGAGTCCCGTCTGAAGGGTGAGTGCAACATAGCAGGTACGGTATCAATGAGAGCTTATACTCACGAGAAAAGGACAATCCCTAGGCATCCGCAAGAGAGCGGCCGACATTCTTAGGGAAGAGGAGGGTACTTCAGACGAAGAGCAGCCAAAGCGCAAGAAGAATAAGAAGACGGTCGATGAAGGCCCTGAGAGTGAAGAAGAAGTGGACAATGGCGATGCGGAGACGAAGGACAGTGCAGGCGAGGGTGAAGAGCTGCAAGTCGAGAAGACTCACGTTGAAGAGCATGAGAAGGATCGGGAAAACGAGAAGAAAGTCCCCTCGCGACGTACGTGGTACACTGCAGTGATATTTGTTGCTGACCTCACCACACCTCAGCCAAGCCCAGGCCGGCGTACAAGGGAGCTCTACCGATCCACGGAAGATCAGCTACTCTCGACAAGGAAGAGGCTAGCCTCGCGAAGTCACTTGGTGCGGCATTGAGCAGCACTGCGTTGGTGTAATCGCATTGACTGAACTAACACTATAGGTGCTACGACGTCTTCGCACGGCAAGGCTAGGCATGTCAATGAAGATTCTGGAAACGATGGCGGCGAGGATGAACAGGTCACCTCGAATACCAAGAAGTCGACTGGGTTGCCGTCTTCTGCGAAGAAAGTATCCTCGGTCAATTCGCCATCCTCGTCGCTGGTGAAGCGCAAAGTCTACGTCAGCGTGCCGACGGCAGCGACGAAGGTATGCATAGCTCCATCAGTTTGATTAAGTGCTAACTTCTCCTTGTTTAGTCGCCGGTGCGTGGAACAACATCCGGTTTGACCAACGACAAGGGCAAGGCGAAGAAGAAGGCGAATCGACTTCGGGGCGACAGCGACAGCAACAGCAACAGCGACGACCACAAGAGTGACGATGATGAGAGTGAGGACGATGACGAGGGAGCTGACGACGACTATGCAGGGAGTGACAATAGCAAAGAGGGCGAGGAAGAGGAAAATGAGGATGAGATTGATGACGATGACGATGGAGTAGTGGTGAGCCATCATGTTCTACTACTCGGTTTGTAGCTCAGCATACAGGTCTTGCCCGAGCGTGCGGGAAAGGCTACGCAGAAGCGCTCCAAGGGTCGAGGGCGCAGAGAACGAGCGAAGGCGGCCGATTTCACCTTCGACGTCAAGGCCCTCGTCACCGCAGCGCAGAACTGCCTTCGCCTGCGAATCTCGCTCAAGACCGCGTGGACGTCGGAAAGCTCAGTGCCCAGCGATCGACTACCGGACCGAGACGACTTAATTCATGACGCCGTGATGGATGCAAGCGAGCTGCGAGATAAGGAGGGAAAGCGCATTAAGGCATTAAAGAGGGCCTTCCTGATGGTCAACGGTCCCAAGCGCGACGCGAAAGTGAAGGGTACCAAGCAAGACGACGAGAAGGCGGAGGAGGAAGAGAAAAAGCGTGTGATACTGCAGCAGAAGGTCTACACTGTGGTGAGTGAGTTGTTCATGTATCAAGGTTGGTACTCTGATTCCATCTAGGTCTGGGCATGCGCGTCGCAATTCCGCAACGAACTCAAGAGGAAAGCCAAGGGTGTCGTCGAGCAGATGTACGGCTTGCAAGGCTTGACTTCGGAGCAGAGAGGTAGTCTTGCTACATGGCTTCTCCGCACGCACGCGACGGACGTCCTGGACGGGGGTTCGCGCAACATTCCGAACTTTGTCTTCGCCGACATCAATATCGTGTTCGACGAGCGCAAGCGATTGGACTTGAAGGTGAGTGAGATCGATAACGTATACTTAGACACTCTGACCTCAGGGACAGGCGACGACATTGAACGAGGATGAGCCCTTTCGCCACGAGGCAATTGGGGAGCTGATCTACCAACACTGGGCCTTGGGAGCGCGCGCCGATGCGAACATGCATGCTGCGATGGACGAGTTTCGCAAGGTACCGGACAATCTCATCGCTGTTGTCTGCAATGCTGTGAGTAGGATTAGTCTGATCACATAGCGTTGTTAACCCTTTCAGCAGATCGAGTTAGGGTTGATGGAGGTCGTGACCAACGGCCATGCTAACTTTTTCACGAACAAGCTGTTCGCCGCGAAGTGAGTCACTGCAACACTGTTAGCGCATTATACTGAATTGTAGCAGGTGGGATGGCCTGGTGGCAATCCTTGAGACACTCAAGGAAGAAGCGCCTGAGCATTACAAGGAGACTAAGACCATTCTCTGGGCTCAGATCTCGTGCGTGGCGTGACATGTGCAGGTCGTACGCAGGAGCTCACAAAATCTACAGGAGTCGTCTAAAAGCAAACATGTTGGACAAAGAAGAGTCTGAGGACGATGCACAGGGCTCAAGCTTCCTCAAAATGGACCGTCTGCGTGCGAAGGTTGGCAAGGTATCTCCTGTGCAAGAGAGGAAGAGGACGAATTCCATCAGCATGGCACAGGTGTCTGCGGCGAACACGAAGCAGGTGTCACAGGTTGCGAGCACGTCGTCAAGCGTGAGGAAGTCCGGAGGATCTGGGAAGCCACCGTCATCGTCCAAGCCTGCCAGTGGCAAGTCTGGAGGATCTGGGAAGCCACCATCATCGTCCAAGCCATCGTCCAAGCCTGTCGGTCATCACGATGTGGACGAACTCGACGACGACCGTGATGCCGACGCCGACGCCGACGCCGATGCCGACGCCGATGCTCAAGGGGCTCCAGAGGCTTCTGGCAGCAATGCCACAGAGCATGTGAACGAATCTGAGCGCATTGTCGACAACGATCGCGACAGTACGTTCCCTAGTTGGCTGTGGCAGAATATTTATTTGATTGATTGTCTTTGCAGTGTCGAATGTGTGAGCAGGCGAGTAGTCATGAAAGCTGACATCGAAGGTGAGTATGTTTACCAACTGTGTGGTCAGCAGGATGGCTAATGGTCAGTGAAAGGGAACATCATCATCATCACCGTCACGTCGAACCCCCTCCAACATAATCCCCAGAATTGCAGCGCTATATGAGCGCATGTTGTACGATGTAGTTTGACTTTTGCTGTATCTCTTCTGCGATTCGTCTGCTTGCTATGGTGCCTTGCATACCCCTGTTGTTTGTTGTAATAGTACTGCGAATGGATGGTTATTTTGCATGCTCGTCCTAGAGTGAATTTACAATGCTGGAGAACCATGGGTACTGAAGTAGATGGAGAGCAAAAGCACAAGAGGAAAGAAGAGTAAAAGACAGTCCATTGAGTGTCTTCATATGAAGGAATAAAGCAGCGAATGCAAGAACCAATCAGCAGTCTTTGTCAAACCATAAAGACATTTTACGGCTTCAGTGTACTTCTAAAGAGCATTTAAGATTGGGACTTGTCTCAAGCGCCTTATGGGACATCAGTGCTCTCTGGTGCTTGTACAAGACCACTTAAGACATGTAGGTTTTTCCTGATGACTATGGGTAATCCAGCCACATTCGCACCGATGACCCTGGCCTTCGCGCGTTCTACTTCGACCCTCTCATCAATACCATCTCGCTGCGTGGCTTCACACCGAAGAACGTGCCACTTGTTCCCCACAAGGACGCGATCTTTGGCCCAAATGACGCTGAGGACGACGACTCCGAGCTCCCTGACGAGGTCGAGCCTTTCCTCGAGGACAAGCCGCTGGAGAGCGATCTTACGGCGGATTCCATCGCGCTGTGGTGGGCACCCGAACCGTACAGCCGCCGCTCAGGGCGTATGCGCTGAGCGCAGGATATCCCGCTCGTGAAGGACTGGTATCTTGAGCACTGTCCTCCTAATCAGGCAGTCAAGGTTCGCGTATCGTATCAGAAGCTACTCAAGTGCTACGTCTTGAATGAACTCAAGACGCGCCCGGAGAAGGCCATGTCGAAGAACTTGTTCAAGCAGCTCAAGGTGACCAAGTTCTTCCAGACCGCACGCTTAGACTGGGTCGAGGCGGGTCTGCGGGTCTGCAGGCAGGGCTACAACCTGCTCAACCTGCTCATCCACTAAAAGGTACGTTGTCCCGGGAAGCGTGGTCAACGTTGTCACTGACACATTTAACCAGAACTTGAACCATCTCCACCTCGAGTACAACATGAACTTGAAGCCGGTGAAGACGCTCACGACCAAAGAGCGTAAGAAGTCGCGATTTGGCAATGCTTTCCATCTCTGCCGTGAAATCCTTCGTCTCGCGAAGTTGGTGGTCGACGCGCACGTCCAATTCCGTCTCGGCAACGTCGATGTATTCCAGCTCACGGATGCGCTGCAGTACATCTTCGCGCACATTGGTGCCCTTACGGGTATGTACCGGTACAAGTACAAGGTCCGTTGTCCTCCTTTCCGGGGCAAGTACCTCTCATGCTGCCCTCTTGCGTTCATTCTAGTTGATGCGTCAGGTACGAATGACCAAGGATCTCAAGCACTTGATCTACTATCGCTTCAACACCGGTCCTGTCGGCAAATGTCCTGGTGTCGGGTTCTGGGCCCCAGGTTGGCGCGTCTGGCTGTTCTTCATGCGCGGCATTGTTCCTTTGCTCGAGCGCTGGCTCGGCAAGTTGCTCGCGTGTCAGTCCGAGGGTCGTAACAGCGTATCCGGCATGGAGCGACTGTCGACAAGGCCGTCGTCAAGAAGAACCTCAGTCGTCTCACTCGCCTGTACCTTAAGGCTGAGCAGGAGAGACAGCACGGGTACCTCAAGGACGGTCCGTACATCAGTGCTGAGGAGGCCGTCGCCATCTACACGGCTACCATGCACTGGCTCGAGAGCCGGAATTGCTCATCCTAGGTCTTCAGCGCGCCAGTGATGGCGGGAGCACTGCAGATGCCGAACAACTTCCTGCAATACCGCGACTCCGCCACCGAGACGCGTCATCCCATCCGTCTCTATTCGCGTTACGTCGACCACATACACATCTTATTCCGCTTCACGGCCGAAGAGTCGCGAGACCTCATCCAATGATATCTCAGTGCGAACCCTGACCCAACGAACAACAGCATCATCGGGTACAACAACAAGAGGTGCTGGCCTCGAGACTGTCGTATGTCTCGCTGAAGGATGCCGTATGGAATCTTACCAATGAGCAGACGAACATCGCTACTTCCCTCGAATCGCTTGCCAGTGCTAATCTTGGTTCACGGCAGGTGTCCAGCAGTTCAACCGAATTCGTCAGGTCTTGATGAGCTCAGGCTCGACGACGTTCTCCAAGATCGTCAACAAGTGGAACATCGCCCTCATTGGTCTGATGACGTACTACCGTGAGGCCGTCATCCACACGAACGAGCTATTGGACTCCCTCGTCAAGGCCGAGAACAAGATCCAGACACGTGTCAAGATCGGCTTGAACTCCAAGATGCCGTCGTGTTTCCCTTCGGTCGTCTTCTATACACCGAAATAATTGGGTGATCTCGGCATGTTGTCGATGGGTCACGTCCTCATTCCACAGAGCGATCTTCGGTGGTCAAAGCAGACAGACGTTGGGGTCACCCACTTCCGTGCCGGTATGTCCCGCGAGGAGGACTAGCTGATTCCTAACCTCTACCACTATCTCCAGCCCTGGGGGGGCAGAGTTCTTTGACTCAGCTCGCTTCTGGTCGGAGTACTCCATGGAACGGAATGAGGCAAACCCCCAAAACCACCGTCTAAACTGCTGATAAGACGCGATAGGATAACGGAGTAAATACCAGACCACACAGGTGAGCATTGCGAATGCAGAACTGCAGGCGATCAGATCCCTCGTTCTTGATCTGCAGGAGGACCATTGAAGACACGGTGAGCTTAGCTTCCGATCATAAATATGGATGATCTGCAGGAGGATCATCGAATGCGCGGTGAGCTCATCTTCCGACATTAATCCTGACCACGGACACGGCCCGGAATAGAAGAACACTTTTCAACCATAAAACACGAGGGGATCCGTTTCAGCTCAAGTCGCATCCGCTTTTCTGCTATCTTCACTAGAGATGACAACTCATGCTCCCGGTCATGGCAGGTGCGTCAGCTGCAGTTCCCGAATGCGAAAATTTCGAGCTTAACAACTATCGTCTAGCTCGGAGGTCGCCGCCCCGACTCTGATGACGTTGACTAGCGACAAGGCCGCGCCGCCTATTCTCTCACCGGGAACCCGGATCCACCCGCCCTCCACGATGTCGGCGCATATCATGCAGTTACGGGCGGGACCACAGTCCGATCCAGCCTTGACGCCGGCGAACGTGATGATGGGTAGTGACCTGCATTTCTATTTCAAGCATTGCACCATCACTTCCCTTGATATTGTACCACCGATGCCGGTCATCGTGTGCATTGTGTGCGAGTAAGTGACACACTCTAAAGTATAGTCATCCTGCTAACTTGGGCGGCAGAAAAGCACATCAAGAGGCAGTCGCCGAGGCGGCGGAGAGGCGCGTTGACATCAAGACCTTGTGGACCTGCCACAACTACGTCTATACAGATGTGACCGGCATCAGTGTGCTCCGAAGCCACCTCGACGGCTACCACCGCGACGAGTACACTCGCTTGGCTGAGGCCGGGCGCTGGTCCAACAAGCTGCCGAGCTACAAGGACAAAGCAAAGGCTGCGGAGGCGGTGACCACTATCGACCAACCTCTTCCAGTGGCACAGTGTTCTCGCGAAGAGCTCCACAGGCAGCTTGTAAAGTGGGTCGCCGCAAGCGACCAAGTAAGTACGAGTTTTCTGGGTGTTTGAAGCAGTCATTGACGGCATCACCAGCCAATCTCAGTGATCGAAACACCTGAATTACGCCATCTCTTGCGGCGGCTCAATCCCTCCTTCGCCGACGAGGACATCCCGAAGCGCAACGAGATGCACTCGTTAGTTTTGGCGGAATCTCACCGTGAATTTCATCAGCTCAAGGACCAGCTCAAGGTGCGTATCTCATGATGTTCGGATGACTTACTGCTCACTCTTCGGATAGCACTCGTACGGTCAGGTATCCTTCACGTCGGAAGATTGGACATCTAGGGGTGAGCATGCACTGGGATTCAAGCGAACGCATCATTGACAGTATGCGCTACCAGTTGGACGTGCTTACGTCGCCGTTACGGCCCATTGGATTGGCAAGGGAGAACTGCCTACGGATATCGTGCTTAAGTCAGCAGTTATCGGTTTCAGAGAGGTCGAAGGGAGCATTACCGGTAAGTCCGAACTTACACACCTAGTGCTCATTCTAATCTTATCGCTTAGGGGTAAACCTCGCGAACGCCGTCTACTTCGTTCTGCAGCGCGCGGGGGTCTTATCTAAGGTGACCGCTTCAGTCTCCTTATAAGTAATCGACTAATTCATTGTTTGAGGTCGGACGATTCACGATGGACTATGAAACAAGCAATAACGACATGATTACCGAGCTGAAGAAGAAGTTCGATGAGGGCCCGTTCGCTCGTCGCGCCTTCCACCCGCGCAAAGACCAGATCTATTGCTTGGGTCAAGGAGTAATCAACTCGTCGCAGGCAATGATTACATACATGGGAATCCAACCTCCTGACGGCGACAGCACCGAGCCAGCAAGCAATCGCCGCGACGACGTCGTGAAGATGTCCGTAGTGTCGAAGACAAGGAAGATCTGCGTTGCAGTTCGTACGTCTCCTAGCCGCAGCGACTCTTGGACGACGTCGGTCGCGATGTACAATGCCGCTACATTGGTCAAGAATGCGGCTCTTCCGGCGGACGCCCCGAAGCTCGACTTATTCCGCGAGGACATGACTCTGGTAATCGACATCAGGATACGATGGAACAGTACATATATCATGATCCTCCGTTTTGTGTCTATGCAAGATGTGAGTGCTCTTCGCTCACTATCCACAGATACTAATGCCAAATAATCTAGGTCTACAAGATCTTTTTGGCGCAAAACCCGGACTTCGTTAGGTCGTACCCAGTTATCACCGACGACGAGATTGAGACACTGACAGAGACGGGCCTCGTGCTCTTGGTGCGTCAGTTCGCCAGCGCATATAAACAGTATTGACGACTGTGTCCAGGCCGGTCACACACTTCAGGCGCTTTTGGCTGAACAGCACCAACCGTTGCTCGCGGATTTCACCCCGCAGTACGAGATCTACATGAAGAATATGGAGAAGCTCGCGGCGGCTAGGCCGCATCTTCAAAGCATCATCAAGGCGGGGATGGACGTTGCAATACAGTTTTACAACCACAAGGATCTCACCGATACCTATATCCTCTGCATGTGTACGTGACCCTTCCTCTTTTCTGACCAACTTACTAATTCACTGTCTAGTCATCCATCCCAAGTACAAGCTCGATCATACGCGGAAGTACTGGGACGGGCGCTACTACCAGCACGCCGTCGACATCGTCAAGCACAGAGTAAGTAAATCGCCAATCTATCTAGTGTGCCGACTGACACGACATTTGCGGTGCAGATGAAGGATTACGCGTCTCAGCGATTGCCTCTGGCGGCGCCTGTGGGCCGTATCGACAACACCCTCAATGCGATCGTCGAGGCCGAATTTCATTCCTGGCTCGAAAGAGGCACCAATATGGTGTTCACCGACATTCTCGCTTACTGGAGTGTGAGTCAACATTCTTTGTCTGGCTCCGATGCTCTGCGGACTCAAAGCACTCGTTCAGCTGCCTCCCGTGCAGGCTCGGTGGCCTACCATTTTCCGGATCGCGTTGGACTACCTTCCGACGCAGGCAACGTCGGTTCCGTCATGGCGAGTCTTCTCCGCGGGGCACGCTCGGTCCACCCTCAGCCCGGACGTCATTGAGGCCTTGCAAATGCTGAAGTACCTTGTTCGGCGGGGTAGCCTGTCGTTTACTGACCACCTCAGGGACTTCGAGTGGGTGCAGGAGATGCTGGCGGAGCAGGCTCGCAGCGAGTTGTCCCAGTTGGGCTATAGCGCCGACGGACACCTCACCTTCGAAGAACTACTAGACCTCATCTAACGTCTTCGCGTCGCCATTGTGGTGTTGCTCGGTCAAGGCTGTCTGACGTCGTCTCGTCTCGTCGTTGTCTCGTTGTTGTACTTGTATCGCTCTGCCTCGTAACGCGCTGTCTCATTGAATGTATCGCAAACCACCTCGTGTTGCTAGTAGCTATGAAATGAATGATGTTCGTATGCATTGCGGCGCCATCTGTCCAACGACTAGAGGTTGTTAGGCAGTGCGCATATCCGGCGCTTAAATGAATTGACTTGGGGACGCGACTTGGTTGACTCTGCACCCATCGTGGCTATCTCCTGACTAGATCCAAACCTCCGCTACTGCCTCAAGCATCCACGGCATCTCTTCGCCAGACACAAAGCAAGTCCAGGAGATCAAGGCCGTGGCATGGGTCCCGCAGCTAGGCAACAACAACAGTGTTGTGGCCATTGCATTTCGCGTGCTCAAAAGGTCCTCGAACCACTCGGATGGATCAGAACTCAGGCTCTCGAGCTGCCGCACTTATCGCTGACCGACGTCACCACGCAGGCGAAGCTGATGGTCAGACATCCTGAATGGGGCTCGTCGTCAATATGCTTGAACAGCGCATTCGCGTCGAGTTCCGTATCATTGTCCGCGCATTTGCTCTCAGTCTGGTACAGAAAGCGGACACCCATCGTTCTCTCGACCTCGTCTCGACCATAGCGGTTTGCACGTACTGGTTCAACGTGGATGACCCACGGCTTGTCACAATTGAGTGGGGTCGGAGTAAGTCCTGGAGTCTGGCTGGCGAGTACCGTCTGACTAACTGTATAACCCAGCTTTCATGGTCCCCGTAGTCGTAGCGAAGCCCATTGCGTTCGCAAGAAACTATAGGTTCAAGCTCGTGGAGAAGGAGTTAGTGGATGGGCGTGACCGTTACCCTCCATACTTCCCATTTGCGGCTCGACTGTACCACCTATGGGAGGCAACTCATCGAGGTCGCGTCTTCCTGCAATGGTTCAGGAATCCCTCGGCTATCGTCTTCACCGTGAGGGGCATCGGCTGGGACTTCGGCAAGGGTGTCTACGGTCCCGAGATAGTCGCCCTCGTTGAAGCTTGGCCTATTCTTGAGAGCCACCGTGCTGTCGTCATCGATATCCTCGACTTGCCGTTCAAATCCAAACCTCGCGCCGGAAAGTAAACTAGCGGATCGATGTTCCTACTAGCATTGTCTCCAGTGCTTTGAATGGAGCCGGAAGAATGCCGACACGTCGCGCAACCCACAGGTTAGTCGTCACATGTTTTATCAGCCGCAATACGTACTGACTGTGCTGTAATAAGTAGGGTTTCACCCCGAACATGTTTGAGCGAGTGCAGCCTCCGTGTACTAGACGTGATGCCCGTGCCCGAGGGTCGCGCGTCCGCTCGTAATTGCGCGCCTTCATGTCCGAGGATGGCATGCCGTTCGTCGTGTCTGACGCATCTGCGATAATCGTTCTCACCATACCCTAGTCGTCGTCGACGGCGTCAGACGCCCTCGGGCTCGGGACGTCGAACCTGACGCAAAAGGGAGTACACGGTGGGAGGCTTGACTTGTGTGTGGAGATGGAAGGACGGGTTCCCGAGGTGAGTGTCGGCTGGCAGATAACGGCTGCTTGGGCAGTGTTGACCACGGTCCTGCCGGTGTGTGTCCAGACGCAGGACATCAATGCGCTTCGCCAACATTCGAGTACGTTAGTGAACGCAGGAGGTTGGGACGTAGATGCGTATGTACATCGTACGCAACGTTCGTTCGCCCTGTACGTGCGAGCGCTGTCCGCCCCGTCGTAGCCTGCCGTTGCGTCCCAGGGCATCCGAGATGACGCAGCGTCTTGTGCTACACATGTCGACCTTCCGGTCTTCCGGTGAGCCTCGAGTCGCGTCCATCGTCGCCTAGTGCTGACACACTTGCACCATCCAGCACCTTCGCGACAGAGCCGCCGTCTTCCGTCCGCGACGCGTGGATCCTCTGTGGTAAGACGTTCTTCGCTCCCTCCGTCCCGAGTCTGATCTCGCGCTGCAGCGACCGCCAGAGGCCGGGAGGCTCGCCGCAACAGCGGGACATCGTAGACCGAACACCAGGTTCGGTACGTGCCTGTCGTCCGCCTCTTCCTCGACCTGATCTTCCCAGAGATCGTCTTCGTCCGCAAGAGACCTAGAAGCTCGTCGCGGAGCAAAGCGTACGTGTACGACTGTACACAACGCTGCGTCGTCCCGGTACATGCTTGCGTTGTCCGCCTCGTCCTCACTCTGACCCTGATCGTGCACTCCTGAACTAGAGCTTTGATCTCGCCGTGCATCGGTGCGCTGTAGACCGCGCGTCACCATCTCTCCCGCCCGGTAAGTGTCTGCGTTGATGTGTTCGTCGTGGTGCTCACCTCACGCCCAAGTCGTCGATGCGCCCTTGGCATTCGTGCGGAGGTTGTTGAGTGTATAGGGTCGGGCACAATACTGCGCCCGACACGACGGCGGGAGGGTTGACGAGTCTGGAGATGGAAGGAGGGCATCCCGGTGCGAGCGTCGGCTGGCGGATGACGACGGCTCGGGTTGGTCCTGCCACCGTGTGTCCAGAGCAAGAACAAGCCGACATTCGAATACGCGGACGCGGAGGGCTGGGCCGTAGAAGCATACGTGTACATTGTAGGAATGCCGGTACGTGCGAGTGTTGTCCGCTCCGTCGTGACTTTGACCTTGCAATTGACGTCAGAAGCCTCGAGGTAGGGTGAAGCGTGCGACATGCATGCTCTACCTCGAGCACGACGACATCGCGCACATCTCCAATGGCGAACTGCACATCCACCAGCTGTGGGGCACGAACAAGGAGGGCAGGCGCGCGACGCCGGCACACCAGCGCAACATCGAGACGCTCGAAATCGAGCTTGCGGAGATCATGAAGGGCAACTTCGACCATTAGGAGCAACCCGAGTCCGTCATCAACACGATACGTGGGCGTGTCAACTTCGACAAGAGCCAGATCACCCTAGGTGGTCTCCGCGAGTACCTCCCTGGAGGGCGAACAAACGAGCAGACGGACGAGCGGGCAAGTGGACGGGCGGGCGGAGGAGCAGACGAGCGAGGTACTAGGCAGGCGGGTGCGTGAACGGACGAGCAGGTGAGTGAGTAAGCGGGTGGGTGCGCGAGCCGGCGGTCTGATTAGGCCAGGGCGCGGCTTGTGCAGCAAGACACACGACGGCCGCGAGCGCGCTGGGCCAATGCCCAGCACGCAGACACGGCCCACGAATGCGAGACCAAAAAACCGGCGGGTGAGTAAGTGGACGGGCGGGTTGGCGAGTGGTCGGGCAGGTACGCAGATGCACTGGTGGGTGAATGAGCAGGCGGGCAGGTAAGCGGGCGAATTGGCGGGTGAATAGGCGGGGTCACGGCACGGCACGGCATACAACACGCGCCCACCGTGAGCGTGCAGGGCCAATGCCCAGCACGCACACGGTTGACGAACGTGTGTGATGACCACAGAGGTGGATGGTGGGTGAGGATGGGTCAGTGACAGCGGGCAGGGCCAGCAGACGGGAACGCGACACATGGTCACTGCGAACACGACGCACGCGGCGATTGCGAGCGGATTGTAGGCGAGGGCGAGGGCGGAGGGCACGGCAAGGGCAGGGCACGGGCGAGGGCCAGGGGGTGGTAAAAACACACGAGAGCGAGCAAGCAGGGAGGGGGCGAGAGAACGGTGGGCATAGATGAACCCGCGGTTCACCGCCAACACTGGCGGTGAATCCGGATAGGGTCTGGGTAGCACCGTACAAGGCCTACACGGTTGGAGTCGGGTCCCTTTTACTAGATCTTTGCCAGCTATGGTCGGCTCTAGTCGACTTGAACCGACTATAACCGACTTTTGTGAAGTTAGGTTATAACTAGCTTATGACCGGCTATATCAATTAGTCAAGCCTAGCTCCACCGAATCTGAGATAACTAGCTAGGTTACATTAAGCTGCCAAGAAAGTCCGCAAAATATAAGACTATATATGGTTATGGGCTGGTTTCCAAGTCCGTGCACCACTATTCCTGGTTACGGTATAGATCGCGCAGTTCGTCGAATCGTCCTAAGCTGAAGAGCTCCCGAACCGCAGACTCGGTTGGTGCCTCCAGACTGTAGTCATCGGGATTTGCAAGTGCATCCTCCATGAAGTGCAGGTTATGATCTTTGTAGTCGTACTTTTGTACCTGTAGAATCTCAAGCATCTCGGGTGAGAGGTTGATTCGTCGCATAGTGATAGTCTCCTTGCTCGCAGAAAACATATGTTTGCAGGGCACAGCAGATGCCTGCACAGGCAATACATCAAGTGCCACACAGAACATGAGGGGGTACTCGCCCTCGTTAACCTAGTTTCTCTCCGTGAATGAGGTATTGGTAGTAGAGATGGTAATCGAGACATACCTCCCACCATGCAACAAGGTCAAGGCCGCGATCTTCCGAAGTAATGGGTGACGGCACCGAGAGGTACCGGTTGAGCTCGTTCTCAGCAACGACACGATCGTGCTTTATGGTGTCAGCTTCGCGCACGGCAACTTCTTTGGGTGAGGGTGAGGGTGTAGCAGTTGGCGAACTCAATGGTCCCGGTTCGGAGTGTGTACCGTCCAGGGCGGTTTCTGCTGCCAATGGCGAGCTAGAGCTATGAGAGATGGGGTTAGGACTTGGAAGGGTGGGCGTCACTGATGTAAGTACTGGGAGCGTCTTCGATCACCGAGGCAGGCTCTTGATGGCACAGAGGCGATGTACACCCACAGCCTGTGCGTATACTGCCTGTGGCACCGGACCTGCAGGAGGTGGGTTACTCTTTGCATTCGCATGGCGATGCACTGTAGCGAATGCGGTCATCTGATAAAATTACGATCAATTAGTAAGTATGGACAATGAGACGAGAGCAGAGTACTACTACGTACTGCGTCGACCATCCACTTCTTCACATCAACAGCCTCTTGCGCTGACCAATGAGCGTTGATCCATGTCATTTTGCTAGTAGGGTTAATGACTGAAGTACAAGTCAGAAATCTGTGTTTCGTGAGAACAAGCTGATACGTACTCATTGCAAGGGCATAGACTTGACTGCTCCGTGCAATGTTGACGTACTTCTGTACTCGATCAATTCCGATGTCGATGTAGTGTTGTAGCTCCGGAATTGTCTTTGTTTGCTCTGTCCAGACATCCATCAATTCAGTGAAGACAGGAAGTGCCATAGATAGGGTAGGGGTCTTCTCGGCAGAGAGCAACTCCTGGGCAGCATTTGGGGCGGCGAAAACTTGATGGATGTCAACCAAGACGTCAAACTCGGCATCTGACAAGTCGTTAATGTTGCTGAGGGTGTCATTTTGAATTAGATGGCGGACAGCCTTGGTTAAAATTAGCACAAGGAGTGTCGAGAATGGCAGGGAAACTCACAGGATACAGGATAAGCATGCGGCTTATCATATTGTACATCGCCGACCACCGTGTGTCCACGTCATGCAGCAGCTGGACTTCAGGAAGTACAACTGGGTTTTCCAGAGGACCCCACAGGTTTGATTGGTTACCCATCTTGATGACGCGCTGGAGCTCTGCACATCATGGACCCAACCTTCGCGCTGCTACAACAACTGTCCGGACACTGCTGATTGGCTTGCTCCTGAGCACATCCACATACCGCTCGCAGGATTCCTTGAACTCTTGCGTGACGCCAGGCGCTGAAGCAAGTGTGTGAACAGGCTCGGATGGGTTCTTTTCCAACTCATCTGTTATCGCCTGGCTCGCACGCGTGATCGCATGCGGGAAACAGCTGTCAGGGGCTGATTAGTTTCAGGAGTACTAGTACCTAAGCATCTCACTAGCAACATTACCTGACACGGTTTCCGTCTGCATCAAATTTGATACCAGCATTACCGAGCTTCTCTTGTAGGAATTCCATTTTTTTCTTATTTGCTGATGCACCGTCCATCGTGATTGAGCCAATCTGAGTGTGACATGAGCATGAGTCGGGAGGAATGAGATTAGATGTGCAAACTGACCTTGTTTTTGAGTTTTGCCTCCTTGACCACACTGAGGAAGACTTTGGAGAGATTACGGCCATCGTGGGAGCCTTTGACGAGCCTGAAGGCTAACAGCTCTGATTGGATGCAAAGCCTGAGATTCTCGTCTCGAGTACAATAATGTACCGTGACTGCCATGAACGCACGAAATGTCGGATCATCCCAGACGTCAGCGGTAAATGATACATGTCCGAGAGCATTCTAGAATAGTTCACATGTCAGTATATGATATTGAAGATATCAGGGACTCGGAGTGATAAAACATACCTGTGCATTGGAAGTGATCTTCTTGTACACTTCCCTGTATGCCTTAATAATCTCGTCCTTGAGCTTGTCGCGATGAGGGATATCAGCATCTGTCAGTTTGTCTGGCCCTGGCCCAAAAAGGAGCAGATCACAAAATGTGTCGCATTCGACAATATTGATCGACTGCAAACATGTCAGTGAACAGAATTCGGACCAACACCACAGCGAAGCATACCTGATCATCAACAATGACAAAGCATACGAGCTTTTCAATCCACTTGTCAATGGAGAATGCCTCCGGTTCGTTCTCTTTGTTTGAATTTGTAGCTGCACGTGGGTCGTCGGTCGCATGCTTGAGCCCTAATGTCTTGACAGTCGGTGCATATAGGTCACTATGCACATGCTCAAGATGGTGTTGCACAGTAGTCGTGATCCCATTGGTATTTCGCCACACCTGCCATTTGTTTCTATAATTTGATTGAGTGTTGCAGCTCAAGATTAGAACAGACAGTCCACTCACTCGCACAGTTGACAGCCAATGAAGTCGGACTTGGGTTTTTGGTGCAACAGTTGCTTGTTTTCAGGCTTCGCCTCAGGTTCCTTGTCATCTTTGAGTTCGTGGCAGAAGTACCAGACGTCTGTGGCTGTGGCACTATTAGTGTCATCCCTGTTCCGGGACTCAACACCAAATGCGGCGAGCGGCGAGTTCGTTGCGATGGGCCCAATGTTACCGAGGCTCCGCAAGGGCCCACTGGTAGACGGTGATGAGCCCCTAGCTCACCTACCCACCGAAAACGCGGTTTACGGACGATATGACGGTGTGCTAAGTCAGTATGGTCGATGCGCTATCCGTCCGTTCGAGGGAACCGCCCGATGTTCGAAGCTCAAGTGTCAGTGTTCAGGACCCTTAGAGGCAAAGTCGCACAGTTTAGAAGAGTTGCTACATTGGTAGGACTATGGACAAGTACACGGCTAGGTCAAACTAACTAGTGACGGCCTCGGCAACTCTCGTATCTATGCCCTCGACCCCCACACCCATGACCACCACCCCTACCCCTACGAACAGACGGACCAGCGTCGAAGCCACGGTCAGTGTTGACACGCTCGAGCAGGCTTTCGAGCAATCCAACAAGGGTGCCGTGCGTGCGGCGCTGGTCGACTGCGATGTTGTGGATCACTCGACCCATGGACTCGAGGTTGTCGGGCAGCTGGCGGAAGTTGGAAAGGATCAACGACTCGCGCTGATACTGCGGGTTCGTGAGAGGACGACACTCGGCCTGGTTGACCTGTTCGAGCAGCACCAAAGTCTCGGACCAGGTGATCGTAGGATAGGCTGACCCTAGGATGTCCCCCTGGTTGCTGTCGCGGTGGAAGACCTCGTTGAGGTAACACATCAACTCGTCAATCTCGGGGAACGACCTAGGAGCAGGAAGTGTGTCGTTCGCTAGCAGGATGGCCCGGCTGCGAGACTCAAACAAGAAGTGCTGTTTGAAGGTCGGTTCGATGGTTCGGAGGATAGTCTATGTTCGGATGCACGTACAATCATCCAACGGACTCCGTGGACCCAAGCCAGCCACTCTCCAGGACTGTTGGCATCATATTGTGGCTCGACAAGTCCCTCGGTCTTGAGGACATCAAGGAGGCGATAGTAGCGGGCAGCATACACTTCGGAAGTTGGGTGGAGGTGCGGCATGTTCGTGCAAGTCAGGCGAACTCCTGCAGATGTCTCATATCTTCGAGGACTGTCACTGGCTCCGGTTATGACCTTCACCGTTCGGGGACGGTCGCCCATTATTTGGAACCTGCGGAAGGCCGAGTTGGATTCTCTCATGTGTTAGTAGGTCCGGGTCAAGCGTTGTGACATTCTCCGATTGGTTGTTTTCCTTATCACTCTCCTTCATCATTTCTTGGATTTCCCTTGGCTCTCTTGGTCTTCGGACCGTATTTTCCTGTATATACCTGGGGACTTGTTCCCTTCGAATCTGAGAGACCCCCTTACCCTCTCAATCTCACCTCGCACCGGCGAGGTTCGTCAGTCAGCCAGTTTGTTCGAAGTCAGCAAGTTCGCCAGTCAGTCAGTACGTTCGAAGTCAGTCAGTCAGTTCGTCAGTACGTTCGCCAGCTCATAGTTGCCCCGAAAGGCTCTACACTTCTCCTCCTGCCGTCGCTCGCCTTCCTTGTCACCGTTCGTTCGACACGTCTGTCAAAACCCTCCCTCCTACCTTCGAGGCTTAGCCCTTGTCTTTGAACAGTCTTCAACATCTTTGAAGCTCTCCCGCGTTGTTCGGAGTCTTGTCCGTCCTCCTCCTTCTTACCTAGACCACTGTACAGTCCCCCGTACATCTCATAGACGCAGAGGCCTCACATACCACTGCTCGACCTCACGGTTGGGTTTTTGTGTGGCTTTTGTGTTCTTTTCGGTCGTGTCAACGGGTCAGAGCCCTCATCCACACCGCAGTGTGCTGCCGTCCGAATCTGGTCGCCAGAGCCACTGGCATCGGCTGCAGTCGCCGCACTGTTGTCCCGACGAGGCCACTTCATTTGCAGTTGTCGTAGTGTCCTTGCGCTTTCGCGCTGTCGTACTGCCTCTTCCACCCTTTGACTTCATAGCAGCTGCCGCTCCAGGTTGGGTATTGGGTGCCAGTGGTGCCTGTGGAAACAGGATGTACGAGGTAGCCTGTGGAGCGAAAGGTGGAGGGGCCGAGAAAGGATGATAGCCATACCCAGGATATGCATAGTTGAACAGTCCTCTGCCATCCGTAGAAGGTGGATTCAGATGGGATCCATACGACGACGATGAAGGGAGCCCATAGTTAGGGTTAGGAGAGTAGCCGTGACTGGCCGGAGGATAGCCTGGAGGACTTGGAAAATGGGCTGTGGGCTGAGCAGAGTACTGCGACGAAAGAGGACCTTGGACGTGTGCATGATGTGGAAGCGAGGAGAATGAGGAACTTGTGCTGAAGTTGCAGCGACAGTCCAGAGGATTGCCGCAGGTGCAGTCAGGCATCGAGATGTCAAGACGAGTAGATAGCACTGCGAAATGTATATATATAAGAAATACAGCAGATACTCAACTACGATCTAGACTCTAGGCTCGTTACCCGTAGCCAACACTCCGAACGACGCGCCCTCCGGCCCCTCCCTCAAACACATAAAGTGGTGCCGACTACCCAATGTTGCATCCGCCAAGAGCGCAACCCGGAGCTTGACATGTTGCATTGACCAGCCTGGAAGTTTGAAGACAGAGCCCAGAGCCATATGACATTGACGAAACAGTTGCATAGAGTGAGGGGAGTGGAGTTCCTTGCGCAAGAGACAGTCTCAACAATGGAGTTGCAGTTGGGTCGTGTCGGGTTCGTGCACGGCACGCAGCAGTGTCCTGTTATGGTGCGTGGGAAACATTTGTAATAACAGGAGCCTGGACTCGAGAGTCGACTTGCCAACTCAACTTGTGGAGCAAGCTAAGCTAAGTTCGTAGAGCTTAGTCAACAAGTCGAGTTAGCTGGCGAGCTGAACTCGGCTTGTCCGCAACACTAACCAGAGTTGTCAACAGGCCGAATTCCGGCCTGTCAACGACTCCGCTTCGGCAATGGGCGCTTATTTGAGCGCTTAGTAAGTGATGTAAGTGTACACTGTTTCTGCAGCAAAACTGACTTGTTTGGGGCTCAAAAAAGTCCCGGAAAATCAGATAATGTTCTAGAAGATCTGTGGAATATCCCTAAGCATATTTAAAGTAGAGGAAACCTCAATACATGGTCATTCAGTTGTGGGAAATCAACACAGGCATGTTATGACAATATTTCCCCATTCATAGCAGTGCTGTGCACATTCCAGACACACTCATGCTGTGTGGACTATGTGCATGGTCTATACAGGTCATATCAAATGTGTTTCAGAGACAACAACCTATTCATATTTGGAATCACTTTGCAATTGTCCACAGAGGTTCTCTTTTCTGGATTATGAATATATAGGCAAGGCATGCTAGTTATAGACTCTGAGGGCTCTATACAGGATCAATTTCTTACATACAGCAGGCATCATGGATGAATTCAATTGTACATAATATTCCCAGATTTTATCAGCATTTTCTGAGCCCAGACTGAGCAGCTGAATGGAAACTGCCATTTTTGGAAGGCCAGCTTCCCTATATAGCAGATCCCAGATGTCAGAGAATCAATGGGCAGTCTACAGGCTTTGATAGAGTCACTTTGAAGGTTAAAAGCAGTGCACTCATGTGTACAGAGGCATATGTGGGTTTTTGAGTTTTGTGAATTGTGCCATAACCACTGAAGTTGATGGGCAAGTCACAGCAGCTACAGACTCTGTGGCATCATACCTATCAGAGAGAATATTTTGGGGATTTGTTGTATTTGTGAAGGCTACAGTACAGCAGATACATGGACTTGAGAGCCTTTGGCCAAATACAGCAAGGCCAGTCACAGGTTAATTCCCTAAAACAGCATATTTCAGTGGAGTCTGGGAGACTACACTGCAAGATGACTTGTCCACAGGTCAAAATTTTGACCTGTGGACAAGTGAACCTCACATGGCATGTGGCTGAGCCTATTGCACCAGACTCTGTGTTTCTGCTATCCATCTCATCCACAAGTACTCAGTGTCACACATAAGTCCTATCAACCCACAATGGGACAATAGTGTTATCTAATGTTTTGCTCATTTTCCCGCTATTTACGCAACACTGTAAAGGTGATCTATCATCAACTTCCCAAACAGGCAAGGGATCTACCATATATGGTGATTTTTCAGACCTGGTAGCCATAGACCCCTGCATAAGATTGTCAGCCTGTAGGACTCTCCAGTAAGGGCAGTAAATGCAAAACAACATTTGTACATATGCCTCTGCATCACTTGCCATGGTCAGTACACTGTGAACAAGCACTGGGATACCTAATTTGGACCTCCGTACCTGTGTGCAAGGAGCATTGCATGAGAGTCAATATTCCGAGATTTCTCCACATTTAATGTGCTCTAGTAAGAGTCTAGACAGTGCTGCTAACCACATTGGGCAAGAAAAAACTCGGCATGGGGAGCTGAGATTGAATGATTCCCTTAGAAGGCAAGGTTTGCCAGTGGTTCAACCAATGACATTGCTCCAAAATCCCTTTTGGGTGAGCTGAGTTGCAGACAAATGCAGGGCTGCAGTTGTATACAAGTCCGCTTCGGCAATGGGCGCTTAATGGGTGCTTAGTAAGCGGTGTCAGTGCAGACTGTTACTGTGTCAAGAGGGCTCGTATAGACTTGAAAAAAGCGGAATATTCAGAAGATATTCAGAATGAATGAGGTCAATCCTTATAGCCTTCCATGATACAATCGTTGCATCAACTAGGGCAGTATACTCAATAACACGGTGAGATTCACATTCAGGGAGCTCATATAAGCCTATGATCACACTTCAGACAGTGTCTCTGCAGTATACAAAGCCTGACATCATAGTAGCATGGATACATATGTATGGATGGCCATTATATATCCCCAGATTGTGTCTATGTGTCTATATGCCAGCTACATGCTGCAACTTGAACTACCATATAGAGTAGGTGTCCTGCCCAAAGAGGAAGTAGGACAAGATGTGGTGCCCATGGAGGTCACAAAAATGCAGAAATCTGTCAAATATACAGAAGCACCCAATAGGAGAATCTGAGTGCTTGGGATTATGATAGACATCACTACACCATGTACATGGACTACAACATGTGAAAAGAGGGTCAAATGGCTCATTGTGGCTGATTTTGGCTGTAGTGCAGCACCCTCTGAGTTGTACAGTGTCTGAATCACATATGTATGTCATTACAGACATATGGAACACATCTGAGGCACAAATAGGCACTTTGACATCTGCAGAGGCACATGTGGATTTTTTTATTTTGCATTTTCTGGACCAGCCAGCCACTCTAGCTACTCAATAATGATAGTGTATACTCTCTGAATGAAGGGCTATCAGATCAGTATACTAAGTCCATTCACAATTGTTACTAACTAGGGCTATGGGGCAGCCTATAAGTGAGTGCTAGCAGTGAGCTGCCTGGCTGCCAGTCACATGACATGCTCACCAGTTGCCATATTGGGCGCCACTCGAAGTGTTTCTTGGGCCCTCACCCCAGGACAAAGCACTGAGCCACAGCATTTGTTTGGTGGTGTTGGTGCAAGTCGTGTTGTCTGGGAGTCCGAAATTTTTGAACTCTGTTAACTGACCATAACAAATGTTAACTATATGTGGTAAGCTGGGGGCAAATGAGTGTACCTGTGGGAAACAACTGCCGCATCAGGTGCCACTGGAAGTGTTTCAGGCCTGTCCATCATAAGAACGATACCTTTGTACCTCAGGGATTGTAACAAGTGCTGTGGCTGACAATTCCCTATGGACTTGGGGCTCCTGTAACATCTAGCATGGAGCCCAATATGGAAAGTGATGAACATGACATGTGACCTAACCAGCAGCACTGTGCTCCAATATAATCAATGACTTTTTGCAACAGTAAGCACCCACAAATAGATAGGGCAATTATACAGTCAGCTTGTAGCTCTTGTTTCATAGAGTCTACGGGCCCCAGTAGTGGCTAGCTAGGCCATAAAATGCAAAATACAAAATACACAAGTGAGTTTGCAGAAATTGAACTGCTCATTTTCATCCTAAATATGGAGCACATGACCCATACAGTATATCCATATGTGTCAGACATCACGAAAATGTTGTATGGTGCCATAACAGAGCTCAGAATGGGCAAGGTTGGCTAATTTCATGCTTGTATGTGGTATTATTGCTTAATTTCTGTATATGGTAACATGTTGTGAACATCACAAGCATCATCAACATGCCATAGTACTCTCTGAATATCCTCTGATTGATCTGCAATTTATGAAGCACTAGACATTCGATTTATTGAGAATTACTGAATTTGGAAGGTTGCCCACCATTTAGGGCAATGTGAGCTTTTCTGATACTCCTTGTGCAAAGGCCTTGCCTGAAATGTATATTTCCCTGCCAATATGCTCCACAGCTCTCCCCATGGTCGCCTGGAAAGATTTACCTAGTGCCAAGACACCCATAGATGCTCCTGTGCTTGTTCAGGAGGTGTGAAAGAAGGTGGTCTAGGAGGGAAAATGTCTTACAACAAACCACAAATGAGGCTTCAATGTGTATATCAATTTGATGAAAGTCAACAGCCACACAATAGCAATCTGTGCAGCCCCTGGCTGGAGCAGTATTCCTGTGTGACCATTATACCAGAAGGTATCTGTGCTGGTCTTCAGCACAAGCATGTGTGGATATTTTGGAGGAACTATTGTTGCTGAAAGGGTGGCAGGACCTGCAGGTGGTATACTTGGTCCCAGCAAACCCGAGTCCTTGTAGACACTGCCAGTATTGGAGTGGTCTGGAGTCTTGGATGTGTCTGAGTGAGCTGAACACAAGCACAGACTTTGGCTCATTGCATTCTCACCTAATCTGGACCTCCATACCTGTGTGCATGGTGCATTGCATGAGAATCAATATTGTGAGATTTTCCACATTTGATGTGCTCTAGTAGGAGTCCAGACAGTGCTGCTGACCAAATTAGGCAAGCCATTAAAAAACTCGGCATGGGGAGCTGAGATTGAATGATTCCCTTAGAAGGCAAGGTTTGTCACTGGTTCAACCAATGACAGTGCTCCAAAATCCCTTTTGGGTGAGCTGAGTTGCACACAACTGCAGGGCCACATTTGTGTACAAGTCTGCTTTGGCAACAGGCACTTAGTAAGTGATGTAACTGCAGACCACTACTTATCAATTATTAGAAAATGGTCTCACTCAGATGGGACTTTTTGGTGGGGGTCATACAGATGATATGGATCTTGCTGCAGGTCTCTCAGTCATGGTGGAAGGCAGTCATCTGCCTGATGATTATGAGGCTGGTGAATTCCACCTTTTGTCCCTAGGAGTCTATGTGGGTTTAGCCAACATACATGTAGTCTTCTTCAGTGGGTGCTTGTGCCACTCTGGGACACCACCACTAGCACCATCTGGTGAGATTGAGACATGGGCATACCACTTTGTCTTGATTCTTAACCCTGCATCAAGAATGATGACTATGTGCAGGGCTGGCTCCTACATGGTGGAGGCTTGAACATCCCTGCAATGCATGCTAGTCTGCAACTGATCACAAGAATCCCTGAGATTCATCACTGTCAACATGCACAGGGTACATATCTGCTTGCAAGTGAAGTTATGTGCAAATGCAAATGTGGCTGGAGTGAAGTATGAGTGCAGGTAAGTCTGGGTAAGTGTGCCAATGTATTTACAGTCTAACCTATACCAAGAGATGCCTCTGCAGGAGAAGTGGATGTGAGATGCTCTCTGCCCCACCTTGCATACAAGTGGACAAGGCAGCTGTATGGTAGGTGAGAAGCAGGCTTGTACAGGCCTCCTCCCTGGAGAGAACTCTGAACACATTTGGTGGTAGCAGCAGATGTCAATGAGCTCTGAACCATTCAATTGGCATGAGGAGAATGAATGTAAATAGAAATTCTGTATAACATATAAACATCACAAAACCCCATCTCATCATGATAGAAAGCACATGTAGACTAATTCTGTTTAGGAGGAACATAATCATAGACACCATCACAAGTCAACTGCCACCACCTACTATGGCTTGTCTTCAAAATGCTCCACAGTAGCAGCAGGAGAAAACAAGACATGGGAAACCCTTCCAGCAGTTATGTTGGCCTTTTCAAGGTGTTCTGGGATTGACTTAGGGTCTGGAAGCCAAGGTGCTATCCCATGGTAGATAGACCCAGCAAAGAAGATGATAGCATCTCCTGACCTGTAGCTTTTAAAGATGTGAGTAAATGGGTGTTGGGTATGTTATAGGAGCAATAGCATACCTGGGCTTGGCATATAGGTCTATGAGAATGGCCTCCCCACCTGATAATACCCACAATTGAAAATACAAGCAGGGCCTGCATCCAGTCCATCCCCGTGAGGCCCCACTTGTAGCTTCCATACTAATGCCCTCCCCAGCCATGGGTGTAGTACAAGATCTCTGCAGCTTACATAGCTTGATTCATTTGTTATGACTACCAGTTAGGGTGCTTCTCATGAGGCACAATAATATACCCACAGTTCAGTGCCCACACAACTAATGATAGCAATATTTGTAATGCATCATGCAGATGTTAGAGTAGTTGAGTTGCCCATACTGTAGCTTACATAATCAGCCACTCGTGTACATGTGCATTTGTGTGCTATATGATCCCTTGCTTTCTGCTGTCATTTCCACTGTGTTTTGGTCACCACCTTGACAGCAGAGGCCCTGAATGATACACTAGAGCTATTTGTGGATTATTTCAGGACTCTAAGGAAAGAGACTCATGTGTTGCTCTAGGTGCCTTACCAGAATTATGTCCCCTACCCCTGGGTCTTTAAAGGGGGCCCAGCACAATGAAGATGAGGAGTTTTACCAACAACTGACTCAGGTCTACCCAAATCCACTGGCCCAGGGCTGCAAAGGGGCAGGGAGGGTGACAAGGTCTGCTGCCAGGTGCCTGTCACAGGGTGGATTACACAGGGAGCTGCAAGGTTACAACTTGGTCTAGGATATTGTGTGCTAGCCATTACATCTGCATGTTAAGTGTGGACCATAAACATGGAGACACAAAAAGAAAGAAAAATAAGAAAAATAAGTGTGAGTCACACTCGTGTTACGTCACATATGTCACGTGTCATCCCGACTCAGACGCGCTCTGCCACCGACGCGTCCAATGTGACACTGACGGCGATGTGGACGCTCGCAGGCCCTTTCGACTGCGACGAGCGCGACATTCCCACCTACACAAGTGCGTGACCAGGCTGCGTATAGATGACTACTAATCACACAGCTGCAGAACGGAAACTCCTCAAGAGCGGTGTCAAGTACGTTGTCGGCCGCAAAGAGCTCGACGATGCCGCGACCTTCGTCATCAAGCAGAAGAAGATCTCTCGCCACCACTTCGTCCTCAATGTTATAGATGAACCCAACACAGATTCGGTCAGTCCATACGCTGCTTACCCCGGTCCATCCCGCGCTCATCCACTCACCAGACCGACCCGAACTACCGACCAAAGCTGACTATCGTGAACCCGTCCGCGGAGGGTAAGAGGAACGTCGCACGCAGGATGGACAAGGCGAGCGGTGCTCCCCCTGCAACCCTCAACCCGGACGAGATCGTAGACGTCGACGATGGCGATGTCGTACACGTTATATTGGACATCCGCATGTCGTGCGTCGCCAGGCCTGTCATGCTTCGTCCATTACCTGACACCCGACCCTCAGTGCGCATTGGGTGCCAGTGGCCTGCCTCGCCCCTCCTACTCGGGGCATCCCACCTCCCGATCCTTCGACCTACACCTCACTAGGTAAGCCCGACATTCTCGTGGAGACGCTAGTCTCACGGTGTACTCACAGGCATCTGCGTCCGGCCAACATCCCACCCCGACGTCACCCACCACCTCTCGTCCACCATAAACCTCTCGCCCGAGCTAGCCCTCTCCCTGCTCTCCCTCACCAACATTGTCACCCCTGAGTGGCTGGCCGACCTCCTCAAAGCCGGTCGCGCACAGAAGCCGGGCGCGTTCTGCGCGCTCGAGGAGACCTTCCTTCTCCCTCTCGCGGAAAAGTACCGCCCTGTGTTCTCGCAGACCCTCCCGCCCGCGCTCAAGACGTCCAGCAAGTGGGCCCCGAATGAAGCGCGCGTCGGCATGTTCAGGGGCTGCCGCTTCCTTTTCGTCGGCGAGAAGGGGCGGGAGGTACAGGAGGCGATGCGCGAGCTAGTGAAGCGCGGGGAGGGTGAGTATGAGTGCTTCGCGGTAGAGGCAGGTAGGGCGGGGTTGAGGAAGGTGCTCGCGAAGGGCAGGGCCAAGGGGAGGATATTAGTGTTGGTTGGAGAGGAGGACGCGCTTGTGCCTGCTGTCGGCAAGGACGGGTGGCAGGAACTAGTGGACGAGGCGAACAGGTGCAAAGTTTCTTCGTCCTTCCATGGTCGCTTCTTGAATGCTTTGCAGCTTCGAGATCAACTTCACCAGCCGCGAGAGGATTCTCCAAGCCGTCGTCGACGTTGATACATCTCTACTCAATCCCGACACCATACCCAATGAAGGTGGGCGACATTCGCCTGCTCATGCGCTGAACTGACATGCATGTACGACAGGTGGATCGCCACAAGCGAATCTCTCCCCACTCCCAGATGTGGTACCGAATACACACCCAGACGAACCGTCTATACCTCCCCCGACCAACGAGCGTGTGGTGCAGTCCCAGGAGCCCCAGCCGACGCGGAGCAGACTGCGCCGGCGGGTGGGCTCGCGCGCATCGTCTCGCGTGCCGTCGCCTCCGCCCGCTGCCCCTGCCCAGCCGGCGCCTACGGAGAAGGCGCCATCGACAGAGCAGCCAAAGCGCAAGGTGAATGTTCTGTGCGTCGTGGGTCGTTGGTATGCTAAGAGAGGAGCGTCAGGGCTTGATTCGCAGAGCGGGTCGCTCGCGAGCGGCCGCTATTGACGATTCCTCTATGAATCTCGACAGCGATGGGACGCCCGCTCCCTCCTCGCAGGTCGCGCAGCCCCCGCCTGAGCCTGCGCGTGCCCCTAGTGTCGGTCCGGTACGTACCTCTCTTCCACTCTCCAGACGGCCTCGCTCACACGGGCGTTAGGAACCCACGCCGGCACGCAGCCGCCTGAAGCGCCGCGCAGGCACGCACGCTGCCACGTCGGACATCATAGACCTGACGGCGGACGCTCCCGCGCCCGAGCCGCCGCTGAAGAAATTCCGCGCACTCTTCGAGCAGAGCGACCCCGACCGCGTCACGCAGTCCGGCAGCCTCCAGACGCAGCTGGACAGTGTGACGGAGAGCGAGTCCATGCTGACGCAGGTGGCCGGAGGGGCGACGCGGCTTGCGGCTGTGGCGGAAGAGGAGGAGGAGAGTGCGCGTGGGGTCACGCAGGGCGCGGGTCCGAGTGCGGGGACACAGGCCCAGAGCCAAGGCGTGAAGAGGAAGGGCAGGGCAGGGGACGAGGACGTGGAGATAGAGGATGAAGCTGCGCCAGCGAGCAAGCGGCGTGCAGTCGAGGGTGCGGACGCGGTGCAGCCGTCACAGACGCAAGCTGCTGCCAAGCCCCCGTCGCGCGCCGCGTCCAAGCCTCCGTCCAAGCCCAATCAGACCCAGAAGACCGAGAAAGCGTCGGGGGCGGCCCCGGGGAAGCCGGACATAGATGAGGCATTCCTCAAAGCGGTCGCCTCGACGAAGAAGGGCAAGCGCGCGGAGGACACGTTCGACCGCGAGTTCAATAACCTGCGGATCTCGAAGCCGGAGCTGGAGCAGGCGCAGGAGCGCGACGCGTGGGCCGTGCTGGACGAATTCGGGGATGATGGGGATCTGCGGGGCAACTTCATGGTTATCGTGGAGATGGAGGTGCACGAGAAGCCGCAAAGGCCGGCTTTGGTGAGAGGCGACGAAGAGAGGGCAGACTGGGCGGGTAGAGTGGATTTCAAGAAGTTCAAGAAGGTTTGTGCTTTGTGTTGGTCATCTGGTCCTTGCTGACGCTTGGTGCGCAGAAATCGATTGCAGGGAGGAAACCGGCTGTCGAGGTCTATGCCGATGACGAGAACGATTACGACATAAGCTCGCGTACGCTGTCTCCAGCTCATTGTGTTGTTCGAATATTGACTAGCTCGCAGAACTGTGGAAGGGCTCTCAAGCACGTTCCCAGTTGGCGTCTCAATCGCAGTCGCAATCACAGGAGACCCATAAGCCAGAGTCGACACAGAATCGGAGGCAGAAGACGCAAACGCAGACGCAAAAGACTCAGAGCGGCAAGGCGAAGGCGAAAGCAATCGTTCTCGACGACTCCGACGAGGATGCTATGCCACCGCCTCCGACCCAGCCCGCCAAGTCTCAAAGGAAAGCCCCAAGCCGTGCCGGCTCCGCTCTACCTCGAGCAAAGACGCATAAGACCCAGCCACTGTTTATCGAATCCGACGAAGAGGAGGCGGGGCCAATGTCACAGACTATGGCGGACGATGACGACTTTGACGCGATCAAGGACGCCGATGAATTGGACATGGACGATGATGTGTCTACGCTGCGTTCAAGCGGGCGAGGGACGCAGAGCCGTGTTACCCGCGGAACGAAGAAGGGTGGCGCATCGAAGGCTACGGCACCTGTGATATTGGACGATGATTCCGATGATGAGGCTGCATATGTGGGCTTTGCATCGCGGAAGAATACACGAAGGAGATAGGTGTTAACGGCTGCTCGTTTGGGTGCGCAAATGAACCATGCCGGTGCATTGAAGGCATGCAGCGCTGGGGGACGAAGGCTCAGGCCCAGGGCGAATGTAATAAACCATCGTAATGCTGGCTGTGACA